AAATTTGCAAAGAGTTCGATTTCCTCTTTTTAAATCGATCATTCTTTTAACATGTTTCAAAAAAAAAAAAGTCAGTTCAGCGCGATTATTATACTATCAGTTACAGAGGCAACCAAGTTTTCAATTTTACAATTTTCAAAGAGGCAACCAAGTTCTGCTCATCGGCTACTAATCAATAAAGTGTTGAAAATCTTGGTTTTCATTTTAGCTCTGATATGACCCCACGATACAAGTAGAAATTTTCAGTTTTATGGCAAAAATCTGATGGTGGTGGTGGCCATGGTGGCTCAGAAATTTCATGTATAGAAAAGTCATGAAAGCGGGAAAAAGTGAAAAATCAAAAATTTGCCCGTTCAAAACATTCACTTTCCTCCAGGAGCCACAAGAAATTCTGAGAAAAATCGCGCTGAACTGACTTTTTTTTGGAACACTCTGTATTTGCGACAGAGCGATCAATGGGTTTGTTGTGAATATGTTAAGCAGCTGGAAATCATCGGTAAAATCAGTAGGCTGAATTTTAGAAATTGACAAAACACGGTCAGAGCACTGTAACTGATAGTATAATAACGATAATTTGTATAGGCAAAAGTAAGGTCACTTTTTTATAAGAGTACTTTAATAGTAGTATAGTAAAGATACTTTGCATAGATTGCATAGTACGGTTACTATTTAGAAGAGTACTGTAACTGTTAGTATAGCACGATAGCTTTCATGGGTGCTAAAGTACGGAGGCTTTTTCATAAGAGTACAGTAATTTGTAGTATATCTGATAGCTTTCATCGGTTCTCAGCTACGGTAACTTTCCACGAGAGCTTGTTTTACAAAAAACATTTGTTACACGACATTGCTACAGTCTGCATTGCCTCAAATACGGTAGATGCTACAGTACTTAAGAGTTGTACAATTATACATACAGTACTGGACAATGAAATATCATATTCGAAAAACGATCGTCACTTTCGCGCGTCTGTAACTCCCTTGTCTTTGAGTTTAAACTATTAGTGTTATACATTTTCTGAAAGCTCTTTTCAAGGGCTACACAATGGTAATATTAATATTTAGAAATACGGTAAAGACAAGGGAGTTACAGGCGCGCGAAAGTGATGATCTTTTTTCAAATATCATATTTCATTGTTCAGTAGTGTATCTCTGACAAGTATTCGAATATATTCACATATAAATTCCCGTTGGATTTGGAGAGAAATACGGTGAGAAATTCTAAGCCTCATTTGCAAGAATTCAATAAATTATTTCTCGGTTTACTGTAGTTTTATGTCTCAATTTCAAATGCAAATCCCTCAAGGTTGCCCTCTTGTTTTCCTCTTTTCTTTCATTTCTTTCATTTCTTTTAAAGCAGCAACCAGGTGTCAAATAAGCATTGCCTAAACGCTTTCTCACAGACAAAAAGCGAAACAAAAAGCGAAACAAAAAACGATTCCAAAAAAAGCCGACAAAATGCAACCGATCCGATGAAGAAAAAAAAGGATGAATCGGAGAAATACGAGAAAAACAGGGAAAAGCAAAGGTTATGGGTAATGGGAAGAAGAAAAGGTGACATTTCATTCACTCATTTTCTGGGGGAAATCGGTAAGAGATCCATTCAAATAATGGCAAAACGAAAATAAAGAAGTAGCAAAGCTTTCGAATCATTGAGCAAAAAGGCGTGAATTTCGATAGCAAGCTAGCTTTTCAGGATTCTTTGTATTGTGGTTTACGAATGGACTGTGTTTGATTGTAAAACTCGAGTTCTACTGCAACTTTTCAGTCTTCAAGTTGTCTAAAAGGTCTTTAGGCTCATCTCTGCCTTTTGTTCCACTACAATATTTAAGAATCAAAAGATTTTTCATCGAAAAAAGACACAATATCTTGGTTTTTGATTGAAGAATTATAAAGATCAGTCTTAAACACTTTGATAACCTTTTCAACAATAATATAGGTTTAAAAAGTAAGTTATCAAGTTACTCTACTAAAGAGATTTAAAGATGTGTAGTTTCTTTGGTAAATAGATTCTGTAACCAGTTCACTAACGAGGATTGAAAGCTTTAACTGTAACATTGTCAATTTGTTGATATTCTACTAAGACAAAAGAGTGAAATGTGAAACAAAACCAACACTTTTAACGACTTTTCTATTTTGCCCTAAAATATTGTGAACTGTACAAGTTTCATTGGCCAACATCACCTTTTTGCATGAGCAGGTGGTGCTGGTCGAGTTTTTCCTATGAAATTTGATCGCATTTTGGGCAAACTGTTGCATGACTCTTCAATCTAAAGGATCAAATGATAGGCATCCTTGATTCCAAAAAAAAAAAACAGAATGGTACTCTAGAAAACAAATATTTGAGGACGACTTGAGCGCCAGATGGTAAAATCTGTGGAATGGAAAGGGAAACTCCAAGGGAAAAGACTCATTTCAATCAAGTCCCCTAAAAAGCGGCACAGTTCAAAAAACGGTAATTAGCGGTGGCAAAATTGGAGGTGGATGGGGGGAAATGGGGAAAGTTGACGGAAAGATAAATGTTTGCTTTTACTTTTTGGTGGCCCTTTACGTTGAGAGATTCAAAAAGGGAACTGCTATCTATGGGGGACGTGTGCCAGACGGTGATCGATTGTGCGCCCGCACAAAGTGCATTTTAAGTGATTTCTTATAGACTTAGATTGCACTTTAGATTGCAGTAAAAGAAGAAATTTAGGTTTAAATATGTATCCAGAAGTTCTCGGGTTCGGCCAATCGTTTGAAGCTATTCATTTTATTGAGTCTACTAACTCAAATTCGGGTCTAATTGGTTTAAACTTTAGCTGGACGTTGACTGATATCTTTTCTCTTTTAGATTGTTGATTGAAGAACATCAAATCAAACAAGATCAAAGATCAAACAGATCTCAAGGTTTAAACAATGTTTATTTCGTTATTTTTTATTTCGCAAATCGTTTATTTTGGTTTTCAAAGTGTGCCATTTCAAAAGCAACTGTTGCGAAATGTCTCCAAATCAAGCAATTTGTTTCTTTAATTGACACATTGTAGGGGCAACAACTGTTTCTAGAGTAAGAGAATAGTTTTACCTTCAAGAAATTCAATAGATATCTATCTTGAAGCAAAATCAAGCTCTTGAGTTCTCAGTCATAAATCAGATACCGTATTCTCTCTAATAGTAGTGTACCTAAAGCTTTGCCTAAACCCCTCAAAATCTCTAAAAGCGCTTATCAGAACCTATTGATGTGGGATCGGAAAATGTAGCTGACAATGAGATCTTGTGGGGGATTTGAGTGTTGAGCTTCTGCGAAAACTTCGAAACCGTTAAATAGTCATCAACTCAGCTCGGCTGGGTGCACTACTATTAGAGAGAATTCGGTAATTTGGAAATTTCACTTCAACTTGCCATTCTTACATCAAAAACTATTCAAAATCCTAATAGATTCCTCTCGGTGTTTTCTAAAAGATCTGACTTTAGAAAACTATCGTAATCGACTTACCATTTTCATTTAAATCATCGAATTTTAGTCATTCAAATCACAAAACTCTGTGAATGTTATCAAAAGTGTAAACTTTTGATATCATTGACAATTAACTATAGAAATTGACAATTAACTATAGAAAACTACGCAAACTACGTAGTTCTCTATAATAGATGCCTTTCAAGCTTCTCTTTCGAATCTTCCATCGTTCAAATATTCAAATTTAGATATCTCCTCCGAAATACTCATAAATTCTTTATGTATCCAATATGTGTTCGTTGTGTGGTCGATCGAATATTGTCATGCGAGAAAAAGAGCATTCCCATCACTCACTTCCCACCGTTTTTCTCTCATTTTTCTGCTCGTTTTTTTTTTTGTCGATTCTTTGAGCACTTATTTTCACACGCTCACCACAAATGAGATTGGGAAATGAAATGGGAAAAAAAGAAAGAAAAATCGAATGCACATCCGGTGGATAGGTAAAGTTTTTTGGAGCTGAAGATGCTGATTGGTTTTCTGATTGGTTTTCTTTGTGGGTATTTAAATTGGGGGAAAGCTGGCGCCATTCTGGAGGAGAATCACGCGAAACGGAAATGGGAATAAGGAAAAAAATTAGATAGAATATGTTTATTGTCGACTTTCGGATATAATTGATTTGAGGTTTCAGAAATTGCCTACAAATTGGAAGTGCCTACAAGATTGGCTACAAGATTGGCTACATAAATTGCCTACAAAAATTGCCTACATAAATTGCCTACAAAAATTGCCTACATAAATTGGAGATAGAAAAAAAGTAAGGGATTTTTCGAAACTAAAAACAAGACTTGTTAAAATTCACCCAAATGTGCTAAAGTTTTACCAAATTTATAAAAAATAAAGTACAAAGCAAAGAAAAGGAAGAAATATTGCCCTAAATTTTGATTGAATGAGAATTTTGGAGAAGTTTTGGAGAAGTTTAAACTTCTTAAACACTTAAGTGCATTGATGTTGGAGTTTTTTTTGCTTCATTCCTCTACTTGTTGTCTTTAAAACGAAAAGGGAAGTAAAAAGTGAGCACTAAGCTATGGATTTGATCTTGTTTAGAGATTTATAAGCAAGCTTTTAAAACGATTTCATCGATGTGCGCCACCAAAAAACTCCATTAGTCCATAAAGTTGGCTTTTCTCTTCCACTGACTTCACTTTTTACGATCACCAATCCATCACACTCATCCATTATGCAAATCACCGCACAGTGTCCACACAAATCGTTATTGGAGTCATTCTTGGGGGTGTGGCTCAATTAGAGAGCATAGAGACATAGAGAGACAATACCGTATCATGAAGGGGTCAGTCTTGCCTTAGCCTCCCTCTTTCATTTCATTCCATTCAAATCCCCAAGGCTCCGCCCCTTCTGCCCTCAATCAAGGTGAGTGTCCTCCCCCCGTCATTGCCCCTTTTCTTGATACCAGATTCGTTGAACAGATCCCCTGCTGGAGCTCTAATATTTTTGCAGATCACTCCTGCAATTCATCTTTTCTGAGACCACTTGTGGATTTCTGCTCAATATGGCTCCCGATTCTTCTTCGGATCATCCCCCACAGTGCCCATGCATTGCTATCACATTCACTGGACCGAAACCGAAAAATGGAAGGAGGTTGGGAGTAGGAAAATAGTGGAATAAGAATAGAATAGAGTAGAATAGAATAGAAAAGAATAGAATAGAATGGAATAGCATAGCATAGCATAGAATAGAATAGAATAGAAATAGAATAGAATACTTTGAAAAGTTGGTTATTGTTCTAGAACATTAGGAGAATAGTTGTTTGTTGTAAAGTTGTTCAGTAAAGTTGTTTAAAAAGTCAAAACCGAGGGGCGGGATTGAACCCGGATCCTACTACCGAGAGATCTTCCTGCTATCCACTGGACCATCCAAGCCTTTGCTGTGTCGATTAACAAGCGCCATTTAAAGTTTCCTTCGAAATTTCAATTCAATTTACTGGACTTTGTAGCCGATTTTATTCAAAATTTCAATAAAAACATGATCTATTTTTTAGAGATTTATCTAGATGAGTACAAGTTAGTGCCACCGAGAGTGTCATGAAGAAAAAAAATAGGGGACATTGCGCAGAGTGATCGAGTGGAGGGATCCCTTTTCACTACTCAATTTTGCCTTTTTTCAGCTCTTTTCCTTTCACCGATAGAAATCTTTTGCACTTAGCTGTCCCATCGAATTCCCCTTAAGAAAAACCTCAACACGGCCACTAGATCATCAAGGATAAAGATCGGGGTGGTCTGTTTGAAGGGAAAAGTTCAAAACAAGTGTCAAGAGTTTAAAATTGGCAAAGTTTGAACTATCATTAGCATTGAACTATCAGAAATCTTTAGGAATCTTTATAGTAAGCTTTTAAATTCAATTTTCAATTGCAGAGTGTTCGATTCGTTTCTCGAGGCAAACAAGGCTTGTTTCTGGAATCGAGATTTAGTCGCCGCGATGGATTCTCTAATCTATATGGGTTTTATGAGACCGGGTGAGTGAAAGATTCAATTTTAGATTATATAGATAGACTATCGTAATACTTAACTAGTTACAGTAATCAATTAAACTACTTTTAACCTCATTAAAGTTTATTGATCATTATCAGTATCGTTTTTCATCAAAATAACCCATTTTTAACTCTCCCAGACTTCTTCTAGTAATTCATTTTTAAACTTATACCTTAAAAGACTTGAATAAGTAGAAGAACAAGTTTATATACTATTTAGTAATATAAACTACTTGTTCTACTATAAACTATAAACTATTTCTACTTGTTCAAGCCTTTTAAGGTATAAGTTTAAACAATGAATTACATTGAAACAAGTAGAAGGACAAGTTTATATACTATTTATATTACTAAATAGTATCTAACTTATTCCTCTACTTGTTTCAATGTCCATTCAATCAATTAGTGAAGAAATTCTTGCATAAAAGTTTACATTTTTCCAACTCCAATACTCAAATCTTCCCTAAGAATTCGATGAATTAGAGATATTCAGCCAACAAAAAGTGATCATTCACTTTTTGTTGACTGAATATCTCTAATTCATCGAATTCTTTCATTCTTTCGTCATTCAAACATCTAGTACACAAAGAGCATCATATTTTCTCTATTCATTGCTTTCTTTTTAGTAAATTGACCAGGATCTGTAAATTGAATAGTTTTTGAGAGTCAATAGGCGAAAAGTTAGGCGAAAAGTTAGCCTTTTTTTGAGTCCGAGGCGACGAATTGCGTAATGACAGGGTTGCCGTTCTTTTTGAACGCTTTTTTGCGGAAAACTTTGATCTTGTCGATACACTTGCTCAATGCAAGACTTTTTTTTTGATCTTCTCTGACATCTCATCGATTTTTTTTTGGACAAATTACCTTGACAATTCGGAGAATGGTGTCAGACAGCTGATTTAGAGAGAATTTAAGATTTAAGAGGGATTTAAGAAGCCCCAAATTTCCTTATAAACCATTTAATTTTAGCTGATTTAACAGTTTGGGGAAAATTGGCTTAGCTGGCTAAAATTTGGCTTTGACTGGTTTGGGTGAAAGCAAAAAAAAAAAAATGATAACTGATCTGTTCGTGCAGCTATCATTTTTCGATCACTGAACGTTAGAGAGAATTTTGGGGGATTTAAGAAGCCCCAAATTTGCTTATAAACCAAAATTCGTATAAAAGAAAGCTTAACAACTGAATACTTTAACCTTTTGATCTATAAATTATCTATTAAAGTAGCCGAAGAGCTGAAGTTTTATAAGCTGAAGATTTTTCTTTTCAATTGTGTCATTTTGTTCAATTCTTTACCCATTCTAATCGAAATCGAAAAACGGGAAATTAGAATCTTTCCTTTCTACGTTCCAGCTGTCAATTTCTGGCTCGTTTTTCGATCGCTTTTTTTTCTTTCAATTCCTGGAAATTTGACCACACACGCGTTTTTGTGATCGTTTTTTTTGGTTTCATTGATGTTGATGGCTCATTGATGGCCTTATGGAGTGGAGTTAAATTGAATTTTGCAAAAATAGAATTCAGATCTTTATAGCGCTTTCATTAAATTCAAAAATTACCTTAAAACGAAAAAAAAATTATCATTTCACTTTTATCATCCAATAGCATCCAATAAAAGACGAAATTGTTGATTTAAAGATGAAAAAAGTGATGGTAGATATAGATTATATCAGAGCTTAGCTGTTTTTTTATCCTTAAACATTCTAGGTACTCTTTTCATCAGCGCTCCATCCATCCATCTACAAACGATTCGGAGTGCGTGGGCTCGTCGAGTGCTCAAGGCAGCTTCAGGATATCAAATCGCGTCACTAGGTAAATTTGAATTTAAACATTACTTTAGCTCTGATCTTTACTTTAAAAGCTTTAAAAGCCTATAATTTTCATAAGGACTACTCAAAAAACACGAAACTCACTATAGTAAGAGCTACGGCTTTACTCTTTACGAATCGATTAGTTTATGCTACTTAATCTTTACTTTAAAAGCTATAAAGCTTACACTTTTCATAAGGACTACTCTTTACGAACAACTTACGAATATATAGACATTAAAAATTAGACTGAAATCGACCTAGTAGAGCTTTTAAGTCTCACTGTAACTATTTCAATATCCAAAATAATATTATTTACATAATCGCATTCAAATTCTTTCCATTTTGTTAACATTTCCTGTGCGATTCTTTAAGTTCATTGCATAGAAATGATTCATGAGACACGCGTGTCCCCTCCATTTTTCTTTCCCCCCAAAAAAAGTTTGGGTATTCAATCAAAAATCTCAATAACAATTGCCCTTGGGAAACAAAAGTAACCAGGGAAATATTGAAGAAAATCAAAAATTCTATCAATTGATCACAGTTGTCATTCGACAACCCCAAAGGGAATCGATTCATCGAAAAAGTGGCCATGTTTTTTTTCGTTGGAGATGATTGATAGCGGGTTCATTGTCATTGTCTACGGAAAAAAGATAGTGAGTTGGGTCAATTTTGTGGGAAACGGGGAGTGATAGTGAAGTGACATGACCCTAGGATATTCCTTGGGCTGATTTATTGTTTCACCGTGTCCAGACACTATTTTATGGGTTAATGGGTCGAAATGCGAGGTTTTGAACTAAAAAAGCGTACAAACGGAAGCTGTTTTTATAGAAATTACTGTTTGTTTTATAGAAATTACTGTTTTATAGAAATTACTGTATAAATAGTTTAAAGTCATTTACAAAACTATAAATAGTTTGAATTCATTTACAATAAGAACTATTTTACATAGTTTAAACAGTTCAATCTTTTAAATCTTGAGTTTGGTTAAAGCTAGAGAACTAGTTAGTTAGTTTGATTCAAAGCAATTATTTGAGTTGATTGTAAAGCTTGATCTGAATTGATTTGAAGTGGGCAATAGGTAAATATGGAAAAGATACGCTTTCTGAGGGTGATGAGTCTTTATTTAATGAATTCGAGCGGTTAAACATCAAAATAAAATCAAAACAAAATGGAGGGGTCGAACCCAAGCAAAAACACGCTAGCCTGCTTTGGAAACAAGACTCTTATCCACTACACCAGACGGGCAGCTTTTCCTCTTTGAAAGTAGCCTTATATAAAGATTCTTTTCCCTTAGAAAGCGGATCTTTTCCATATTTACCCCATTGCCCACCCTCAAGGACCGGTAAATCGCAAATTAGAGGCCATAACGATATTGGATGGGTGAGAAAAATGGGGAAGATGATGGGGAATCTCTTAGAAAGATCTATTCCAAGAAATCTATCGATACAGCCAGGTGGGGAAGGGAGTGCGGATCGGTGCTAACAAGCGATCTTCTCCATTCATCCCTATTGTGTCACACACTTTATCGAGGGCATAAAATTTGAAGAAAATTCTTGCTTCCTTGAAAAAGCTATGGTATTCCCCATTTTGCAATTTGCATATCCAGTTTTCATAGCTTTTAGCCGGGGGAAACTTTGGAGTTGTTGTTGAAAACTTTGGAGTAACTTTGGAGTTGGTTTAGCTATGAAAATGGGATTTTGTTCAAGAATTCTTGCACAAAATCGATAGAAATGCTTATGTATATATGGAAATCCTAAATTTTAAGTACTCTAAAGGAGTATTGAGTTAACTTGCTTGTAGTTTATTCAAAAATATTTACAGCTTTATAGGTAGAAAAGATTTTACACGAAAACAAACCGATCAAACTCTTTAATTCTTTAACTATAATTGACTAATTGACTGTAACTTAACTGAACTGTTAAATGAAAGAATGAAATACTTGTTGGTATTCACTTGTTAGTTGTTAGTTGTTAGTTGGATACTTTTGAAATCCTTTAGGTAGTATCAGAAGCGGTTTAGCGCACAATTTCCTCCTCTCTATTCTCCTATCAAAAAACCACTTGATATCAAGGTGATATGTGCTATAAATAAACAAATTCATGCGCAATTCTTAGCACATTTCTGTAAAAAGCTCTAGAAAAAGAGGGGTGAGTTGCGTCAGATCAATGTCTGTCCACCATAGCTCTATTCCCACAACACAGGTGCTCCCTAGGATGTTAGAAGGTATAGAGTTCAATCGTTGTTACAGAAGTTGAAGTTAATACAGATTGTTTAGCAGTTAATACAGATTGTTTTGGTTTAAAAAGCTAAATTGTACAGTTTTTCTAGGTTCTTTTAACATTTTTTAGATTCAAATCATTGTTTAGTTGTGGAAAGAAATATCCAAATGTATCTAACAATAATATGCTTGACAAAGCTACCGTAAAAGCTATCTAAATCGTTTATCCAATTGCAAGCCAATTGCAAGCCAATTGCAAGCCAATTGCAAGCCCAATTGCAAGCCCAATTGCAAGCCAATTGCAAGCCAATTGCAAGCCAATTGCAAGCCCAATTGCAAGCCCAATTGCAAGCCAATTGCAAGCCAATTGCAAGCCAATTGCAAGCCCAATTGCAAGCCCAATTGCAAGCCCAATTGCAAGCCCAATTGCAAGCCCAATTGCAAGCCCAATTGCAAGCCCAATTGCAAGCCCAATTGCAAGCCCAATTGCAAGCCCAATTGCAAGCCCAATTGCAAGCCCAATTGCAAGCCCAATTGCAAGCCCAATTGCAAGCCCAATTGCAAGCCCAATTGCAAGCCCAATTGCAAGCCCAATTGCAAGCCAAGCCGTTTATCCAATTGCAAGCCAACTTCTTATCATCTCGAAATCTTTAAATTGAGTGTGAAAAGTTTTTCTATAAACTAATTCCATTCTTGGATTGAGAAGTCATTTAAGGGTGGCCAGGTGCCTCAAAAAAGAGACAAATCAGAAAAGGAAAAGGAAAAGAAAGAAAAAAAAGGATACGGACATCTGCTTACAATCGAATTGAATCAAAGAAAGACTTAAGAAATAGATTTCTCTAATTCTAACTATTTCTCTAACTCTTTCTCTGTAAGTTCACGGTTGAAATCGATGGGACTTTTGGTCTAATTGAGGGTTGATTGAGGGACAATCGGCTGTTTTACCTATAGATTTTTAGTTATTGAAATAGAAATAGATAAAGTAAATCGATTTCTTCACAATCTCTACAGTAAATCTGTTCATTTGTTGATCTGATTGTCAATAGACAATAGATAAATAGACAATAGACAATAGACAATAGATAAATAGACAATATATCGATCTGATTCTCTATTGTACAACGATAAATTCGATTGTACAACGATAAAACGAGCTTTAAGCACTTAAAACAACTTTTCAAGCATTTTTAATGCTAATTTTTAACCAAATAAACCAAATAGTACTTTTAAAACCTAGATTTGTTATTTAAAAGTTCAAAGTTCTTATAAAATGACATCTTTTGCTTCCTCAAAAATTCAAATTCAATGACTTTAAGAAAAGAAGAGAAAAGAAGAGAAAATCGCAACATCTGTTGATCGAAAACAGAAAAAACCCTTGTCCTTTTATGGGTTTCTTTTTTTGAGAAAAGAAACCGTTAAACGGGAAAAAAGATGAGAAATTGCTTGTCCATGTCTTTTTAAGCGTTTTTGACAAAAAAATTTTACGGGTTAAAATGAAATTTGAAACTGATCAAGTACTCGTTTATTTTAGTATTTAAGATAAACGAGTACTTGATCAGTTTCAAATTTCAATCAGTTACTGATCCGTTAAGCTTAACCCGCTTAACCGTTAAGCGACGATTTTCTACACTTTTAAACAGCATGTTCACTAGAAATCACTCTAAACATCCCGTGTTCTTTGAGCCAATTTGCAGCATCCTTTCTGGCGTAAATTTTCTCGTTTTTCTCAATGAAGGTTTATTTGGAGGACAAAGAACATCCAAGGAAACTAGTAATACTTCTATATATCGAAAAAAAATCAATTCTTGAACTGAATATGGTTTAAAAACTATGTTCAATATTGAAATCGGGTAATGACAGTGTTGCGTGTGTGTTAGGAAAAAAGAGAGCTCAATTTGAGGCTCTCGATTCGGACATTATCCACCTGTTGTCAAAAAGTGACACAAAATTTAGGGAAAAGGGGGATTTTGAGAAGAAAAAAATATATAAAATAAGCTTTCTATGATGCTCAAGTTGTTCAGACTTAAATCCTGTTCTTACCCTTGGTATACTGTATGTATTAGCTTGCAATAAGCAATAAGTATTGATTTACTAGACTTGTAATAAGTACTGATTTACTAGACTTACTGTAGATTGTAATGTATATTTTATCAAAACCTACAGTATCCCATCAATCAGCGCCAATTTCCGGCAAATTTCCGGCATCGTAAACATTTGATTTACGATCAGAGTCACCAGATTCTCAAAGAAACCGAAATAACTAAAAGGAATTAACTAAAAGAATTAGCACATTTCCTTAGGGATTTTACAAGGCCATTCAAGTAAAAGATTTGGACAAAGAGTGCTAATGGGGGAAGAGAAATTGGGTGGTAAACTTTGTGGATCAAAAGAGTACCGACATTGAACACCTTTTCGGGAGGAAACTCGAGGACACGTCTGTTGCCAGAGATTCACACTTGTTCTAACTGTCGTTGTCGTTAAAAGTTACGGAAGTTCTTATAGAATTGATTGATTTGAGTAGTTAAACGTTTGAATTGTCAACCAGAATTGTGATGGTGATCAAAGCCAAAAGCCATCAAATTGTGATGGTGATCAAAGCCAATCGCCAATGTTCATTTGAAATGTGTTCGGTGCTCAAAGCAGCCTACACTGCACTATAGCCATTTCATTCTTGGCTGTAAAGTTAAATGCTAATTTTTCAATTCCAGGAGACCTTGGCGCCATCCAAACTGTTCAGCAGACACACTTTGTCCCATTGGGTGATGTGCTTTGTGATGCGATCGCTTATCTCAATAGAAATGTAAGTCATTAGAGACTTTGAGAAGCAGGGTTTTGTTGAAGTGCTGGCCGAGTCGGGAACACGCTTGTCTACAACCCACTAGGCCCGAGTTCGACTCCCGGGTGTTCCACCCAAATTCTATTTTTAAGAATTTCTATTTTAGAATATATTGTAGTTGCGTATTTAAGATTTTCTAAAGAATTTTTAGCTTTATTAATCAAAAAGACGGTTGGAAAATGTCTGTACAGACAGATAGACAGACCTAGAAAGAACTTATAAAAGATTTGTTTAGGGCCAAGCAGCGAATCTCTCGACAATCCGTGATCACATCGGTCGCACTTGTGCCCAAGTAGCTGCACCAAGCCTGGAAATGTTGAAGCAAACAGCGAACTCTCTATCAGCCACCGGATTGCTCTATCAAATGGGAGAACATTTCTTTGTTTCGGGTGAGATTTTCCGCAAATTTTAGGCATTTTTTCCAAAATTCACGTTTACTGAGGATTTTATATCATTGTCAATGGCAAATTTCAATTCTAGTCCCGGCTCAAGTCTCCTCGAAAGAGAATCGTTCAATCGAGTGCCAAACTGGTGAAAGTATCATCGTGATTCCCGAAAAATCAGCTCCAAAACCGAAACAACAAGAGAAGAAAAGACAAGGGATTTTGTCGAGACTTTTCAGAAGAACTGAGAATAAAAGGGAAGAGCAAAAGGTGAGTAAAGATCACTCTAAATCACTCTAAATCACTCTAAATTGTGAATTCTAGCAGTTCTAGCAGTTCTAGCGTTAAATGAACTCTTTTTTTCAGGAATCAGCCGCTTTCTCAGTTCCAAGCGGTCCTCAAGAATGGGTTTGCGGGACGAGGATCCTCCCGGCTCCATCACCGCCTAAAGCTCCACCACAATCCAGTGTGCCCACCCATCCACCACTCAAGTGAGCTTTAGATTTAGATTTAGAGAGATTTTAGTAAAAATCTAGACGTTAGCAATTGTTCTATGCATTAGATATGAGCTTAAAGTTTCTGTGAATTCACATTGGCAGTATTTTAGCTCATTTTAGCTATAAAGGTAATCTGGATCTTTCAATTAAAACCAGATAAGTCTTACCAGGGTTACTGTAGCTATCTACGTTCATACTGTAGATGATAATGTAAGGTTTACAGAAGTTTAGGGTAGGGTTTACCTTCATAACTTAGGGTAGGGTTTACCTTCATTACCGAAGGTAGGGTTTACCTTCATAACTTTTAACGCCAATTCCTAAAAGATAAAGGAATTAGATTTTTGGAGAGAGATTGAACCATCGACCTTTTGCTTTCCAAGCACTAAGCTCTAACCACTGAGGTATCTGATAGCTTTGCATAGCAAGAGAAAGAGGGAAAGACAAGGGGGACAAGAGAAGAAAGAGAAGAAAGAGAAGAAAGAGAAGAAAGAGAAGGAAATACAATAAATACAATGCCAATTTAGCCAATTATAAAGCTGAATATCTTTAAAGAGTTTACTGTAATTAAACTTGTCACTACTACTTTTTTTTTCATAGCTTTACTGGAAATTTTGTACAGATTTTTGTAAGCCATTAAATTTAAACCAAAGAATTCTCCCTTTATAACTTTCAATACCAATTCCCAATCAAACGAATTTAAAACCTGTTCCCTCCCTTGTATGTGCAGCTGTCCGAAACTTCCGGCACTTCTAATTTTCCTCTTTTTCGTGCCCTTTCAATAGGGGATTTGTGTTCCATTGTTGGGTTAAGCTAAACAACATTTTCGATCTCTCACCTAATGAGCATTGGGGATAAGCTTGGAAAGAATTGAGAAAACAAGTCCATTTGACTGCAGGTGGTCAAATGAAATGGAGAAAAAAGGGGGAAAAGAGTGTTGAAAGGAGTCACTAACAACCAAAACGCAACGGGTTATTTGAATTTTTTTTGATGAGCTGTCGAATTTTGATGGGTTGGGTAATTGAAAAATGAGTGAAAGACAGGCTTTCTGTAAGGAATCTTTGAGCTTGTATCAGACTAGCCATCATATCCAGCAATATAATGTGTGTCTCACAAAGCTTCTCCTAAATTTAGTTTCTTAAAGTCAAATCAAACTCGTAAAGCTAGCTGGCCTTGAACTGATCTATTTACCTTCTAACCTTCTATAAAGGAATTGTGGATACTGTAGGCTATCAAATATTACAATGTTTTCTAAAATTTGCTAACTTTTGAAAGCTATCGTAATCGTGGTTCTAGTTTTATTCAATCTAACCACTTTTGACAGAATCAAATCAAAAATTGATAGAACTAAAGCCAAAATTGTGAAAATAGACACGTTTTAGAAAAAAAAAACTCTATTTAGGCTTTGTTTTTACAGATTTTAGTTTGATAATTAACTTAGAACTCACTTTTTAGACAAGTACAGTACATTCTCAATAGCTCAGCAAATGCTCCTGGCAATCCCCAGTGCTACTTTCCAAGAATCTTTGCATAGAAAATGATTTCTGTGAATGGGTGTGATACACAAATATTCTCTGCTCACTCAGTCGATGAAATGTGAAAATTTTTTGAGAACAAAAGCCGCTAATTGGTTGAATGAATGCCGCCACGTGGCCCGAGGCACTTCATTGTGAAGAGGAGAAGCGAGGGAACATCTCACTCACTCTAGAGAGACACTCTTTATTCTAAGATAATGTTTAACTGTTTGGATGATGGTGTCAAAATGCCCATGGGCGTGTAATGGAACTGGAAGATATTTGCGAGTTATTGAATTAGAAGGGAAATGGGGGAAAAGTAGGATTGGTCTTGTAGGCTGGAAAAAACAGGATCAATGCCGGGACTTGAACTAGAAACCTTTCGATTACCAGGCGAGCGCTCTACCAATAGGTCAAAACTGCAAAACTGTAATACAGTAGTGTAGTGCCAACCTACCCAAGCTACAGTATCCATTTAGTCAATCAGCTACAGTACTCTCTTATCTAACTTCTATCTAATCTACATAGAATCTACATAGAGAACTCTTCAATTTCGATCTATAACAGCAACTATCTATAACGCTGTGGCAGCCCACCACAATGGCTGCATGATGTAGTGGATAGTGTAGTTAATCCAGGGTTCGAATCTCTAGCTTCTCTCTTTTTTGGAAAATCTATTCTGTTTCCTGTGTGCATATACAATCGACGATATCGACTTTTCCATACATTTGAGGGATTCTTTGATAAAGATTATAAGTCAAATCAAAGCTTTTTGAATAGTTAACTCAGAAAATCCTTAGTGAACCTTGAGCGAAAAGGCATGACCACCTCATGGTATCAATTAGTGTCCGTTAAAAAGGGGAAAGGAGAAGAGAGAAGGGGAAAACCATAGGGATGAATGATTGCGCAAGGATTTCCTCCTTTCCTATCCAAGTCTGGGAGTCAGGACACCAGAAAAAAGAATTGGAGATTTTATGGGAATCTGAGAATATATTGATGAGGAGAGGTGAGAATTGGAGCTAATTTTTGGTGGGAAAGTGAGGGGAAAGTTCAGTACAGTACTTGTCTACCGTACAGCAAGAAACTACAATATACTCGTACAATACCAGCTACACTAAGTAATCAAACGACAAGACTGAATACTTAGCTTTTGCTTTACTTAGTCTACCATAGTGGTACAGTTAAATGTTCTCTTTTTAAGGTTAACTTTGGCTGGCTGGCTTTGGCTTTGGCTGGCTGGCTTTGGCTGGCTGGCTGGCTTTGGCTGGCTGGCTTTGGCTGGCTGGCTGGCTTTGGCTGGCTGGCTGGCTTTGGCTGGCTGGCTTTGGCTTTGGCTGGCTCGCTTTGGCTTTGGCTGGCTTTGGCTTTGGCTGGCTGGCTTTGGCTGGCTTTGGTTAACTAAACTAACTAAACTAAGGCTAACTGTGAAACATTGGAATATTTTTTTAAAACAAATCCGTCTAACAAATCCAGAACTTCAATGAATAGCTTGAGCACTTTTATTGCTGCCTCACACCTGCTCTTTGTCTTTTTTTTTTGACTTCATTCTACTCAAGTACAACTTTTTGTGAGGAAAACGAGCATTTTATGAGTCTTTTACGAGTCTTAAAAGTGCATTTGATGTTTGAGAAGTTAAAAGAAGTGGGAATTTACGAGGATTTGAAAGGATTTTAAAACTGAATACATTGAACTTTTAAGTATTCAGTCTTGGAATATTGAGAGCTAGAGTAACCTGCAGTACCTACAGTACCGACAGTACCTACAGTACCGACAGTACCTACAGTACCTACAGTACCGACAGTACCGACAGTACCGACAGTACCGACAGTACCGACAGTACCTACAGTACCTACAGTACCTACAGTACCTACAGTACCTACAGTACCTGCAGTAACCCCTACCTTACAGTGTACTTAAATTAATTCTAATCATGATCAAGTTAAATTTTAAAATTTCAGAATGGACTACCTGGCAAATGAGCTTCAACGCCATCTTGAGACAAATTACTTGAACGGAATGAATCGGATTGAAACGGCAACAATCGATCGGAGAAGAAAAGTACAGAATAGACGAGCTGAAAGGAGACAAAAAGCACCGTCATCTAGTCAAAGGTACGTTGAAAAGCAACGATAAGTGATCTATTATATAAAAATCCTTTACTTAATGGTAATCCTTTAACTTTAGCAGCTCGGAATGCTTGAACTATGGCCCGATCGATCCACCAGAATGCTTGCCGAGAAACGCCGAATTGATCGACGACTTGGCGAGGAGGAGAAGGAGAAATCCGCAAAAGTGAATTTCATTAACAATTTGAAAATTGAAACAATTGATATAGAAATTATATATTGCTAAATTTTTCAGACGTGAGAGTCAATTCCGCGCGTCGACTCCGATCATCAACTCTGATTCAGCCTACAGTCCATCTCCAGTCACCACCGAGAATGAGGAAATACAGAATCGTTTTAATAAGAGGTTTGTTTTGAAAAAAGGACATAGCAAAATAAAGAATATGATTTTAAGTATAGATTGCTTATCATAGATTCCTTATCATTAAATTTCAGATGGAGTGACGAGGGTTGTCCCCTACCCACCTCAGGCGGATCTGACGGCGATGTGACGCACACTTACGTGAATCTTAGAAGAATTTCCCTTGGCGCACAAATTGGGCAAAAGGCACCGATCGTGAGAGCCGACGAAATGGAGTTCGATGATGAAAGGGGCACACAATCGGATCCGCATGAATCGACACAATTCGAAGAGTTCACAATGACAACCATCGCCCCTCCATCACCAATTCCACAACTGCCCCCACCCAGGCGATACATTAATCTCATCAGCAATCTTTAAGAAATCGCTGGGAATAGCTGGAAATAGCTTTTTATACTTTTTGCTTGTAAACCCATCCTTTCTAGCGCATTGAAATCGTCAATTTCTAAGAGAAATGAAAATTCGTGTGCACCAAAGAGTCGTTTACAAAGTAGAAAGAAGATTTTTCAATTTTTCAATCAATTTGTTAACTCTTTTACTGTTGAGCTTCGTTATTTGAATACCCCATTATTGCCATTTTTTTTTCTTTCTTTCTATAAGAAAGCTTATGCAAGTTTTTGTCGTTTTTGTCGCTTTTCTAAAGTTAATCTATTGTGTTTTTATATGTGATAATGATCAGCGCCTACTTTTGATCATTTTTTGAGATTTTCGTATTTAGATTAGTTTTTTTTTGGTTTAAGATAAATTTTTGTTTGGTAAATTTTGAAGAAAAAAAAACGATTACAAGAAAGATCAAGAAAAACTGAGGTTGTCAATTTTTTTTTTGAAAATCTAAACAAACAGGTCAATAGAAAAGATTGCTTTTTTTTTTGGATATGAAAAATTATGAAAGTTTTATTCTATAGATATTCTATAGAATATTGATTCTATTGATATTCTATAGGATATTGATATTCCATAGAATATTGATTCTATTGATATTCTATTGATATTCTATTGATATTCTATTGATATTCCATAGCATATTGATTCTATTTATATTCTATAGGATCTTGGTTCTATAGAATATTTATTCTATTGATATTCTATAGAATATTGATTCTACAATCTCATAGTTTAGTATGTAGGAAATTTTCGGCAAGCAATAAGATTCCAAATTGCTTTGTCCTGTGTTCTTGAAGATGTCCTTTATGATCATCTTTATGATCATTTTCAAGAACAGAAACACATCCTTTCTTGTACACTAAATTCTTGATTTTCTTGCAGAAAGTATTTCAAGAAATAAAGACTTTTCTTTTGGCGAAAAGATTATTCTTTATCGATTCCAGAGTTGACGTAAAGTTAACAAACTGGCTTGTCTTGAAGAACAAAACTGTTTATAAACTTTTTCTATGTGAAATTATATGCATTTTTTTTGTTATTGTCTAACCGGGGTTTAGAAATTTATTCATAAGATTATATAATACTAAAAATATTAGGTTGTTCGGATTTAAACGAGCGTTTGCACTGCTTGACTCGTGAGGAAGCCATTTCCCGCATCAGATCGTCTTTCCAATGGCGTGGAGATGCTCATCAATAGTAGAATTTGAACATAGAAACTGTTGAGCAAGTTCACGCGTCGTTTGACATGGATCCGATTCGATTGCAGCCCTCAAAATATTGTTGTCTACCCCTTGAGGTCGACGAGAGTATTCATCGTCCTCGAGACTTTCATCACCGTTCCGAAAGCGTTGGAACCAGACTCGGCATCGGCTTTCGAAGGCCGGCTTTCGGCATCATTCCCAAATGCTTTGACCAAATCTCGATGGGATTCCGTGACTGTTTTTGCCCAGTTTAAAGTCGTAAAGTACGACAGACGACAGATGACAGACGCGAACTTGATATATTTGAAGTCGGTCATCTAAAGCAAGAAAAAAAGATCTTAAAAATAAGAAATTATCCGTTTAAAAAGATTCCAAATATGCACAAGATAACGTACTTTTTAAATACAGAAAGACAAGTTTTAAAAGCTTCTCTCACAACAATAAGTTTAGCAACGTTGCAGACAAAGCAACAAAGCAACAAACGCTTGTTTATATCCAAAAAACCTAATAATACCCACGAAAAGCTCTTAATTTCTTAACCTGAACAGAGTCTAGCCAGCATTAGCTGGGTTGGATTTGTCAAAATGTTCATAAAAACAATATCTTTAGCTATCTACAATATCTTGAACAATTTATGAATAATATCTTTAGTAATTTCTAATAATTCTTTTGTTCATCCAAGAATTCCCTCTATTTTTCTTCATGATTTACTTTTAGTTTACAGCTGTGCACCCAGCAGGGTCATCGCTTTTTTTCTAGGACAAAAAAACCCTTCAAAATCCATCTCAAATTTCACTTTTGTCACCGGTTTTTTTGAACAATTTGAACAAGAAAAAGGCTTAACTCAAACTTTCAAATGATTTTGTTTTTAAAATTTTGTCTTTTCTGTCATTCTTAGCTTTTCTATGAACTTGAAGAGCTTTTTTCGGTTTCTGGGAAACTAATTACCGTATTCTCTCTAATAGTAGTGCGCACTACTATTTTTTTCAACCCCCTCTCGGACCGCAATACTATTAGAGAGTGCACTACTATTGGAGAGAATACGGTAATAGTATTTCAAAACTCTATACTTTCAAAAGTACACATCCTTTTTACTAAAAACCTTAAACTTTCTTGACATTTTATTTCTTTTCTAAATTTGGTCGTTCTTGATTTCAAATGGATCTCGTTTTGAATCAGAATTTCGAGAAAAGAAAAAAAATTGAGATGACATTCAAACTTTAGCTCTAAATGTTGAGACTTTTCGAAAAGCCCATAAAATTTTTTTGAAATCTTGAAACAGTACAATGGGAATTTGCACGGGAAATTGGAATTTGACCTTTGAAAACGTTTACTGTTATCCTTGTCTTTTGATTAGACCAGTATTTGACTCGTTCAATCAAAAATTTTCGAACAAACTAGAACACGAACAAGGATTACAAAGTTAGAAGCCAGACGAAATCAGGTGCTAGGCCAGGTGCTAGGTCTGACTGGCTAGGTCTGACTGGCTAGGTCTGACTGGCTAGGACAGCTTCCGCACTTGTAAATCAAGCCAATTTAGGTTAGAAGCTAGGCTCAGACTGACCACACAAAGAAATTTCCCCCAGTGGTGGATTAAGCACTATTGTATCGATACTTGTGACTGTTGTTGTACTAAGTCTTTCACCAGGTTGTACTAAGTCTTTCATTAGGTTGTACAAGGTCTTTGACCAGGTTGTACTAAGGCTTTCACCCAAATTCACCTTTTAATTGAATAAATTTACCAAATGATTGTTCTATCATTTCTCTTGTAAATGACTTTTGAAAGTTTCTGAAAAGCTTTTTTTTTTGAAGATTTTTCATTACCAAGAAGCCGAGTGTTCAAAAAGGACAAGGTTCGATGATGCGATTTCGATCGTTTCTTCCAATCAAACCTATTTTAATGACAAAATAGAAAGGATAGCGCACAAAAAGTTCGGTCTACAACCAAATTTTCCGACTAATCTAGTCAAAAGAAATCACAAGTAGACTGTAACGTATTTGTGACTTTATTCGGCACTTTTAATTGCAAATTGTAAATAAATTCAAGTTTTAATGCATTCTGCAAATTATGTAAATGCAAAAAAGTCACAAGAATCAGAGTATCTAAGCCAGGTTTGATTGAAAAAAATGGGTTTGAAGTGAATGCAAGTGAACAAAACAAAAAATCCAGCCATTAGTGATCATTCAACTGAAAAGTTTTCCAATAAATTTCTGATATCATCCAAAAAATGTTCCTCGAAACTACTTGAGGTCAGATCTTGGATTCAATTCTTTTCCTTGAGTGTTCTCTTTCCTTTTCCCTTTCATTTATTTCTCTCCAGTTGTCCACAAATATCGATCGACTTCCCCGTTGCCAATGTCCCCTTTTCTCCTTTTCAAAAGGCAACACCGAAATTCCAACTAATTCCGAAATTCCAGCTAATTCCGAAATTCCAGCTAAAATTTTCGTTTCATAACAAGTAGAATATACAATTTTTTTATTATTTAATGAAAAAATGCCAGTTTTCCATTTCAAATTTCACAATTTTTATGAAAAAAGTGATAGTTTTTTCATAAAAACTTGGTTTTTTACTCATTTTTACTCTAAATTTGAGCAAAATTTTAATTTTCCGCTTTTAAAACTTTAAAATTCGATTATTTCTTGAACATTTCATGATCAAATTATCTATTTTTAAGGTTTTCTTGTCTTGTTTAAATGCTAAAACCAAAATCGATATAGTTTTTTTTCATTGTAAGCCATTTCTACACTTTAATTTACTATTCTTGACGATTTTATAACCAAAATGTGTTTTTTCTTGGAAACCATTTGAAATTTGATTAATAATAGATTCATTTTATCGTCAAACTTTTCATTTTTAAAGTATTTTATGTCTTGTTTGACTGTTCAAGCTAAAATGAATCCACTTTTATTGGAAATTATTCCAAAAATACCCCCATTTCCTCTAAATACAAATTTTCCCTCTATCGTTGTATACTTATTCGATAATTTTTATGTGCTTGCTTTCGTAAAAAAAACGGAAAACTTTTAAATTACAACAAAAAATCAGAAAAGTTTGTCAAATTTGATTGCCAACCCAAAATTTTCTTCATTTATTGCGAGATTTTTGTTGCGCAATCAAAGTTGAACACAAATTTTCTGATAAACTTTTTATTTAGAAAGATTTTTTTGGCTAAATTTATATGTTGGGTATTTATAATGTTATAGTAGTCAATTTTTATTTGATTATTCAAGTTTTAGAAGCTAAAAGAGTTGCCACCAGAGTGCCACGTTTCTTTGTTTACAATGTTTTCATCAATTCCTTTAAATTGTGTTTTTCATTTTCAGTGTTCTAATCTAATTTCTAAATTTCAGAGAAATGTGGATAGGATCTATTCTTTTCACCATCATATTCTCGTCGGTGTTTGGCGATAAAGAGAGGGTGATTGATGGGGCGGGAGCGAGGATTCAACATCATCATCACGTCGATGGAGAATCTGATGATATCGATCATCAGGTGGGGAGAATTTTCTTTTTTTTAAATTTTGTACGTACCAGCAATTAGATCTGTTTCTAATTGATCTGTTAAAATTTTGTACGTACCAGCTTATCCAGCAATTAGATCTGTTTCTAAAACGTCTCACGTTTCGAAAACTACTGAAAGCTTTTATCCAAATCTATTCACTATCTTTCGGCATTCTTTGTAATCGCTCACAAAATTAAACCAAAATTGATGTTACGTCCGATTAAGAATTTATCGAATCAATTGTGTAAAAATATGAAATGTTCAATGCGAAATGATGCAAATCTAATTTTTTTCAAGCATCTACGAGTGTTTTCTTTATTGGTACTATATCGAATCATCAGCAGGCACGCAGTAGTGTTATTTTCCCTTTAATAGGTTCTAAAGATATCATGAAAAGATCTTATAAATGAAGAAAATAGTAAAAACTTATTGCAATCAGCTAACAAAAATGTAAAAAGATCTCAATATCAGCATTTATCTCAATATCAGCAGTGTTCTACACTCTCCCGTGACTTCGAATGTCAAGGGTTTTCCGTGAATTAATTTGCAATTAGGTTAAATTATTCCTTAACTAACTATCAACTATCAAAACTATCAAACTATCAAAACTTAACTATCAAAACTAACATTAATTAGATATTCAAGCAGATTGGCATTGAGCATTTCATATTTTTACACAATTGATTCAAAAATTTTTACTCGGATGTCGGATTTAATCAATAATTTTAATCCATTTAAGGCTCACAGACTTACATGGAAATAGGTTGCCACCTTTATATTCTCGCGACAGCCCCACAAAACTTCAAATATTCAGTGATTCAATTGAAAATTTATGTGAATTTCAAATCGGACGTAACATATAGATAGATTGGATAAAAACCAAAAGGCAAGCTTAGCCAAGGAAACTTTTTGCACGTTTCCCAAAGGAGCTTTTCTTTTATCTATAAAAATTAGGTCAAGTTACAATGTAGCTGGATTCAAATCCGAATTCAAAACTGACCCATTCAAACCAACCTCTAAAGGTTCATCACTTAAAGCTTTCCGCTCAGGTCCAAAGGCAACATGTGTGTGCAGATGTGTGGTTAAAGGGGGGTCAAACACCAGATCGGTTACAAAGAAAAGAAACGATTATAGAAAGCCTAATTGGTGACTCGAGGAGATCTCTTTCCAATAAAATTCCGATGATCAGATGGTCAATTTGACCCCTTTTGACCCCGATTATGAGCCATTAAAGCCGGCAATCAAAGCTCTCATCAAAGCTCATGACTTTGCGCCAGTTTTGAATTATTTACGATTGAGGGAAGAGGGAACAAGGGAATTATTTTGAGGGTGTACTTTGGGTTCCTGTAAACGTACCCTTTCTGGGGCACTGAATTGATCACTTTTTGCGTAACTGCAGACCGTTTCTTAGGGTAACTGAAGGGATCGGTGCACAGGAAAAGGTGTGTTGGGTGCACGTCCTTTGAACACAAAGTACTCTCATAAGGCTTCTCATTGTAGAATATTTTAAGCCAAAAAGGTGTGGTTAAGTCCATATTATAACTGCTTTACATAGAGGGTTAAGTAAATAACAAGAACAAGAGAACATTGATTTTGTTAGAGGGATTTTCGTAAAGAACTAATTCCCCTTCAGATTATAAAACATACTAATCTAATCTCAATTTCCAGGCAATTCTTGGCTCAAAGCATCAAGCCGAAGAATTCGATCAACTCAGCCCCGAAGAATCCCAAGCTCGCCTGAAAATTTTGGCGAAGAAAATGGACAAGAACGGTGATGGATATGTAAGTTTAATAAATTAATTTAATATAAACATTATAAGTTTAGACTCTTGACAAATATAGTGAAAGAGTAAGGAGGACTACAATAATGATTTCCCGTCTGGGGTTTTGTTACTGAACCTATCCAAAGATGATCTAAAATATGCCAAATCATTTGATATTCAGGTGGATGAAGAGGAATTGACGAACTGGATACAAAATTCCATGAAATCTTTGGATGATGAAGAGGCGATTGAGAGGATGAAAGAAATCGATGTAGATGGAGATAATAAGGTAAACCTAAATTTCTATACGATAATCTTTACGATCTACAAGACTTGGGACTTGGGCTACTGTAAAATTGGCTAATTGAGCTAAGTTATTTAACTAAAAAAATCTTAAATATTCTTTTTAGCTAAATAACTTTCAAGATATTAGCTCTTAGCACTTTTATTCCGGGTACTGTAATGAAATGACTAAGCATCTAGGGCATTACAATAGTAAAAGCAAAGAAACCGGCTTGTATGCCGTCTTGTTTACAATTAGTATTTCTATCATGCAATCATGATCCTCTAGTCTAATATAATCTAATATACAGGGTGGCTGAAAATTCTGTCCGCATTAGTAGATAAAACTTGTAAAAGTCTAAAGTGTCTTAAATTTTAATGCTTACACAATTTTTTACTCTACGCTGATCATATAATCCTGAAGAGACGAAAGGTATGGTTTCAAAAACGTTTTTACTATTATTTACTAACGTACCAGTACCGTTTTTCAGTTTAGTCGCGTGTCAAATTTCTATAATTTGTTCTCTAAACCAGTATTGGTTTTCTTTAAAGCAAAGTTTGATAACCTATTTGAAAGGCGAATAATTTTTCTTTAAAGCTATACCTTACATAGGCAGATTGCTTTTGAAATTATCGATTTTGAGAGCCTTAAACATTGTTGGTCGAGCTTAAAAATCGCCGGAATTCTAGGAAGTTGCGACTCGATTGAAAAAAACATTAAAAATGCACTTCAAAAAAGAAAATCCTCTGTAAAACAAACAAACAAATAAAAGGTAAAAAGGTAAAAATAGTAGAATTTTCTAAATTTGAGTTCCATTTTGCTCTATCTTGACAGAGTTTTATCATAAAGACACATCTATTCATATGAACAGTACTTTTCAGCCACCCTGTAGCTTAAATAGCTTAAAATTCTCGTTCTCGGTAACTTTGCACTAGTTTTCACGAAGAGATTTTTAGGTTTCCTGGGACGAGTACGCAGCGGATTCATTTCCGGAGACGGATATCACCAAATTGGATGCCGACGATCGAAAGTTGCTTGATGAGGACAAAAAGTATTTCGCTGTCGCCGATCAGGGTTAGTTTTTGGTAAAGAATTTGTAGTAATTCTAATTATTACTAGGTAACTTAATATTTATAGATGGTGATGGAAAATTGAACGAAGAAGAGTTGAAAGCTTTCCCTCAACCCCGAGAACTATCCACATATGCACAAAGTACTCGTTGAGGTACAGCTTTTTTGTCTAGATTTTAGAAAGGTCAAATGTATGCGAATTAATATGCAAATTTCTTCCTAGGTGACTCTTTGGGAGAAAGACGGAAATCAAGACGGGGCGATCGATTTGAAAGAATTCTTGGGCGATATGCACGAGCAGCCACAAAGTGAATGGCATGCGGTTAGTTTGAAATGCTAATTTCTTCAAATTTGTAAAGATAAATGCGAATTATAAGCTTTTTCAGGTCGAAAAGGAGCGTTTCGCGAATGAATACGATGCGGATAAAGATGGGGTTTTGAAGGGAGAAGAGATTAGGAAATGGCTTATTCCTGATCTGTATCAAGTGAGTTAGAAAACGATTTTGTTTCAGTTCCGACACGAAATCGGAGTATAATTAGGGATAAAGTATCTGGTTTCAACTCAACCAAACCAAATTACAAGAAAAATCTTTGAGTTTTAAATACTTTCCTTATGATGAACAGGCAATCGAAACAAATTTTATTTGTTACGTCCGAGTCCGATCCAATTTCCGATTCGGATTAGTAGCATGTAGTAGAGCTATAAATAAAGCTATTAGATGTTATAGAGTTATGGATAGTGAACAAGCTATAGCAAATCCTGAAGTATTCCGTTAAAAAGATGAAATGTTTTAGCGTAAATTTGAGCATTTGAAACCGGAAACAATAAATCCACTTCAACTTGCTTTATGTTTATCATTTTTATCGCCAAAGTTTAATCACTATTCGTTGTCTTAAACCGTGGGAACTGGTGCGTCTAATAAATTAACTGGGAACAAGTGATGTTGCTGAGGGATCATTGTAAAGATTTAATTAAAGATCTTATTTCTAACTAATAGGGCTTCAAATTATTTCTTATTTTCTTCATTTTCAAACCAACCCTTTCCTAGGTGGCCGTCCAGGAGGCGAAACATTTGATCGAGGTGGCTGATGGGGACAAAGATGGAAAACTTTCGATTGATGAAATCGTCTCCAATTACAAGACTTTTGTCGGCTCAGAAGCGACGAATTATGGAGAAGATTTGAGGAAATATCATGAAGAGTTGTAGATTTGAAAAGTCACATTTTTCTTCTCCTAACCATCTCAATTCTCTAATTGCCAAGAACTCCATTTCGGGTATTTGTTAGGCATTTTATATGTGAAAAAAAAATGAGAAAAGTTGATCGGAAAAAATATAAAAAATGAAAAATCTATATTTAAAAGTAAGAAATACTTCGAAAACTTCCTGATTTTTTTTTAGAAATTTTTGGTTTTCTATTTGATTTAGTGGAACGGCGCCGCGAAAATTCCTTTTAGACTTAAAAAACTTGAAAAAATACTCCACAAAATTTCTATATAAGCTTAAAAATAATGCTAAAGTAGAGATATTCAGCTAAGGATATTGATAGCTTTGAAAATTCAAAAAGAAAGTTACCATTTACTCAATTTTCGATGATTCAAGAATCAACTTTCGCTAAGAACCTCAAAACTTTCCCCAACTTTGCCTAAAAAATTTCCTTCAAGTAGCTGAGCAAATATTTTTTACGATTTCCGTGAAATTTTCTAGTTTTTCCCCTTTTCTTTTTTTTCGTTTTGTCGAAGAAAAAGCCATGTGAATCATCGATTTCTATAGGAAATGATCAAAAGAATCGCGAGAACTATTGATCCAATCGGGGCTTTTCAGATTTCTTTAAAACTCTACATCAATTTCCCATCAAAAACTGAAAGGATCTTACCGCCTATCTTCTAATAATAATCTTCTAATAATGCTTTCAAGTAATTTCTAGCAAAGTAAAGCATTTTCTAAAAGGTGGGTAATTTGAAAGTTTAGCGTCTTTCTCTTTCTTTCTCTTTCTTTCAAATTTTTTTCGTTCTACTTGATTTTAAAGGAATTTGATTCACAAATTGACTCCTCATCGAATGGAAATAAAAAGCAAGCTTACGGTAGATTTACAAATGATCCATCTTTTAGAAAGCTTATTGTTAGAGGTAGTCATTGTTTCTTTTCTAATCTCTACTATTAAACAGCTGGAAAACTCGTTTTGTGTCCAATGACTCATCCGCATTTTCTTTTCCTTTCTTTTTTTTTTCAACTGGACGATCACACTTCGATCAATTGTTTTTGTGGTTAAAGTGGGGAAAAAGAAAGGGAAATTCCTTTTCCCCATTCTCCATTTTCCCCTCTTTTCCGTTCCAATCCAATTCTCCATTTTCCAACTTTTTTTGTTTTGAAACACTCCAAGAAAACAGTTCACGAAAAGGTAATGGCTTTTTTTTTTTTCCTTACAAAAACTTTATCGAAGATTTGTTGGATTATATTTTTACCTGAAAGCTTTATTGAAAAGCTCTTCAACTTTTACTGTTCCATCATCAGCTTTTAAATATTCTATGCATAAGTTGAATTGACTCTATCTGAGCATCTAGTTCTTTAATTCAAGTTTTATTTTGTCGACTACAACTACGACTATTTTGTCGTCAATCTACACTTAAGTGGGGTTATTAGAGTTAAAATTTAGCAAATTTAAAACTCTAATCATCACTCCGATTGCCTAAGTTGTGTTGATTGAACAATTACAAGGTCAAATTCAACTTTTCTAAGTGACTCTATGGCAGCCTTTCTTTGGGATCTTGTAGCTGGAATGGGGTTTGACCATATTTTATTGAATTCTGTCAAAATTAGGCATAATCTGTGAAATTTTGTGCCTTTTAACACATTCACGACGATACGGCTCATCGATCGATCGATCGCTTACTGACGAATACGAATTTTGGTTTCAATCAAGTTTTTAAGAATTTTGTTTTTGATTTCGAAGAAAGTTCTCGGTAACTTTGTACTAGTTTCCAAGAGGAGATTCAGAGCTATCGAATCACTATAATAGTTTAGTTTCATTTTGAATTTACACCAAATTATCAGGAAAAAGAGTTAACGACTACGCGACTTTACGTTCAAAATACCGCGAATGTGTTACCAAAGCCGCTTTTGATCAGCTGAAGCCCTTCAACTGATCAAAAGCTTCAACTGATCAAAAGCTTCAGCTGACCAAAAGCTTCAGCTGACCAAAAGCTTCAGCTGATCAGCTTTGGTAAAACATTCTGATTCGGAAAATCTTTCTTTTCTTAAATTCGGATTTCTTCAAAAAAAAAACACGATTCTTGGTTAGGGTTTACTTAAAAAGAATTCAAAATTTCAAAATGAAATACATCTTTTGCTTTTATCTTTTACAAACATTAAACGTCATCAAAATGCCCCTTTCCTTGCACAAAAAAAAAGCCGAAATCTCCCCCTCGCCAACCCGATAATTATTTCAAGAAAGTCTATTGATTCTTGATATTTTAAGTAAAATATCTCCAAAATGTTTAAAGATGATCAAAGTTTTAGGTGAAACCCCCCCCCCCGATCAGCTTTTCTTTGACTGAAAATAATTCAAGAATTCCCTCTTTCTAACCTCTGCAAAAATTGGCCAAAATCGTTTCAAAGTGTTGTCATTTTTTTTGTGAAATTTTCTGAATTTTGTGAATTTTTTGACTTTTCTGTCTTTTTGTACCAATTTTTATTTATCCAACTGTCCCAGTTTGAAAATTTTTCTTTTTTTCTTCATCAGACTTGTCTAATTTGTTTAGCTTTAGATTCTTAGAGAGATTTTTTCGTTTTTCTTTTTTTTTTCGTTTTTCTATTATGGGTATGGGAATAAATAAATCTTTCAAAAATTTTGGCAATTCAAATTTTTTTTGGTAAATAACCACAGAAGCTTTCGGCATTGATTGAGCTTTGAGGAAATGTGCTTTTTAAAAAACCCCTTTTTAAAAGCCCCTTTTCAAACCCATTTAAACCCATTTGATTTTCTTTTTTCTAAAACTTCTAACTACCGTAACCTCTTTATTCAATTTATATTTATCGATTTTTGATCTAGTTATTGGGTTGATGGAAAAGTCCTTTCGGATTTTTTGGGAGAGCACCTTCAATTTGTCGAATTTTGACGTTTTATAGCTCATCCTAAAGCTGAATTCAAGACGAATCGATTGGTAAAAACCGTTTTGAGATATCTATTTTCTAAAAGTTTCTGAAAATGCGTGTCTAGGGGTTATTTTTGACGCCGATCACGAAACACATGTTTTTAGCCTAGGTTTCTGCACGGAAAACTAACGAAACGTGAAAACAGCCATTTTTTCGCTCTGCCGCCCTTTACTAAAATAGCTGTAAAAACTTTTAGAAAAGAGATATCTCAAAACGGTTTTCACCAATCGATCCGTCTTGAATTCAGCTTTAGGATGAGCTATGAAACGTCAAAATTCGACAAATTTGAGGTACTCTCCCAAAAAATCCGAAAGGACTTTTCCATCAACCCAATACATAAGTATTTAGAAAAGGATACCAAAAGTAGAAAGATTGAAGAAAACTAACCATTCAACGCTTGCTGTTAATGATGTTAATGATCCTTTTCAATATATAAAACAGCATTATCTGTCCGTCCGTCCATCCGCCTGTAAAGGCTTTTTCTCATCCGTCTTTGAGCCAAAAAAGCTGAGACTTTTAAAAAAGTCTCAAAATATATCATATTTGTGTCATTTAAAATGAAAAATTAGAAAGCTAAAGTTGAGTCGAACTAGGGGGAGTCGAACCCAGACCCTGTGAGCAGTAGACTGCGCTACAACGACCATGCGTCATCCTCAAACATCCAGCCACTAAAACTCGCCGTTAGGCGCGTTTTTCGGCTGGTAAAGCTTTAATTTAAAGTATAAATTTAAAGTTCTTCAGTGTCAACTTTAAAGCCAAAGCTTTCAGAAAAAAGATCTTCCGTTTCTGTGCATGAAAATTTTGTGAAGCAAGCTCTGGTGTTGTAAGATATAGAGTTGTTCCAATCACGACCTAGCTTCTGGTCTGGCCATGATAAAATTGCCTTTGAAACAAAGATGATCTAGGACTTCCAAAAACCCTTACCATTCTATTCAACTCAACCCTATACAGAAATGTTCTCAGTTCAGGCAAAGTTCAAAGTTCTCAGTCTCATCCCATCGATCGGCGTTTTCTTGTATCATTTCCTTAAAATCCTTTACAGAATATCTGGTTCATAGAAAAGTTTTGTTCAAAATTCAGAACTTTCCCTATTTTCATGCCTCTTTCCCAATGTCACTTTTGTGCATTTTCTTGCGTCAATTTCCCCCCTCCATCTTTGACCACTTTCAATTATCGCCCGAAAATTCAAAAAGTGATTCGATTTTTGTGTGGGCGTCAATAATCGCAGAAATATGAATGAGAAAATTGAGCAAAAATTTAGGAGAATTTTTTTCTCGAGCAGGTGGTATTTTGGTATTTTGTCGCATGAAAATGGTTGTGAGTAGGCTGAAAAATCTGAAATTTGAGGGGAGATTGCTTTTTGCATCAATTAACTTCTTCAATTGAGTTGCATATTGCATATTGCAAATTAATGTGAACAATTTACATTGTGTTTAAAGGTTTTGGCATTCTAAATCTTGTTTTAAGCTTGAATCCAATCATTTTACTTGTTTCAAGCTTGAATTCAATCCTTACCAGACAATATTATCCTTTGTTTTTCCCTGCAAATTCTTTTCTGAACAATATTTAGCTCTTGTCCGTCATTCAGGGTTTTTGAATGAATGCTCACACTTTGAAGGTCCACAACGTTGTCTAGAGATCGTAGTATTGTGAATTTTTTTTTGTATAGTTTCAGGGAACACTTCAGGCTTTTGAATGGGATGAAATAAAGCTTTATTTGATCAGAAAACACCAGCTAAACTGGGGAATTCGTCGAAAACTGACGGAAAAGAACATTTTTGAAAATCCTTCAGAAAAAACTTGAATCTTAAACAGTAAACCTTTCTTTTTTGCATAATATTTTTAAAAATAAATCCCTTTTCAATTACTTTGAACAATCTTTTTCGAAGAAATCATCAAATTTCAGATGGAGAATCACACGAACTCCGACTCTCACTCGAATTCCCATTCAAATTCCCATTCTGAGCCTGGCCCTCATCAACTACCGCCTCGTTTTGAATGGTTTACTGAGCAAATTGCGGGACATCATCCATCGGTGGTCAAGAATGGAATTCGAGAGATTGGTTAGCAAATTTAAATGCAAATTAAACTCAATTATTTTACCATTTATCAACACATTCATCGAAGTCCCCTAGTTTGAATTGAGTTGACTGTAAAACGATAACAGAATGTTAAGGCTGAACATCTGTACAAGAAGATTTAAGGCTTAAGATTTAAGCGTCTTCCAATAAACAATAAAAACCAATTTTCCTGTTGAAAAACTCGCCTTTCCTCTCTTTTTTTCAAAAGCGAAAAGAGACCCGGAAAGAGCCCCCTTCCCTGCATACCGCTCTTTTCCCCATCCCCGTCCTATGCACGGATGGCCGAGTGGTCTAAGGCGCCAGACTCAAGCGAGAGCTTGCCGCGATGTCAGCGGTTCGGGTCTTCTGGTATCTTCGGATGCGTGGGTTCGAATCCCACTTCGTGCAAATATTTTGCTTTTTTCAGGGAAAATCTTTATTAGTTCAACGATTCCCAAAATCTTTGTAACTTAAATCCACAATGGTTGTAACTTAAAAAGGCCTTTAAAAGTCTCTTCGTGTCCCACCCATTTACAGGTGGTAATCCATTGAACAAACATCTTCGACCTTTTTCTCTCAATAGAGCTAGCCTCGTGACAATCCCTTAGAACAACCTCATATAGGGAAAAGAGGAGGGGATTTCAAGTGTTTTTGGTGAAGGAAAGAATGAGGTGAAGGGAAAGACATTAAAGACAATTAATGTCTTTAATGCTTAAAGACATTCATTGGGGGTTTATCAAAAATATCGCACCCATGGTTGATAAAAAAAGGCATGAATGCTAGAGTTTGGTTGACAAGATTTTTGAGATTTCACGAATAATTGGCTTATTTCTAAAAAGGCCACAAACAGTGCAAGAACTTTTGCGTCACTCTATAGTTGATCTTTCTATATCTTTACGTTTCCTATCTCTAAAGTAGTTAAGGCACTTGTCGTTTATACCTAACATTTGCGTACCATAAAAACAAATCAAATTAGCATAATTATGTGTAGTTCAAGGGTTCTAGATGTTCAAGGAATTGTTCTAGACTAAATTACAATAGATATAGCTAAACTTGAACTACGTAAAACAGTAGTTTGATGCTAATTGAGTTGGTCAATAAGGCTTGTAGGGGTATAACCGACAAGTACCGTAGTTAATGTTACAGTAGCCTTTATAGTATCAACTACAAAACTTGGTTTACTGTAAAATTAACTAATCGGCTTAGGTTTACAGTAGTAGATCAGGCTTTAAAAGTTCTTAAGTTGAGGTTCGGAAAAGTTTACAAGCTCAGAGAAACTTTAAATCTTACCATATTCAATTGTTTTCCATATTGATGGAGTAACTTATAGTTGAAAACCTGGCTACGGTAGCTCATAGCTAAAAGTATGGATACGGTAGCTTATAACTGAAATCCTGGCTACGGTAGCTTATAGCTAAAAGCATGGATACGGTAACATAAGGTAAATATCTTTTCCTAGCTTTCCCAATTGAAAATCCGATGATTGTTGTGCTTTGTGAATGACTGCCTTCACCTCATTCATCACCATTCAATGATCTCTTTTCCTTTTTACTCAGCTGTGCCAATAAACGGTGAAAAATTCTCACTCAATGGGCCATTCATTCGAGTAAACATGGGGAGTGCCAGCGGGTGAATTCGAACAGAAAACCGGCTTGAAACTTGGCAAACTTTGAAACACCTAGTGTTTATTTTGAGGGGATTTTTAGTTAAATGAAAAATTAGCGTGATGTTAATGTAAAATTACGTTTTTTAGGTTTCCTGAAAGAGAAAGGCTCCAACTACATTCTCAAATTGCGACAGGATGGGAAACGAGGAGATTGTGAGGTGAGTGATTGAAAAAAGTCAACTGAAATGATCCACTTTTGAGCAAAAAGTCAATTCAACCAGCTCAAACTGAATCACAAATCCCCAAGCTTCACGCATTTCGTGCTTTAGTCAACAGCACATTTTGCAAACTTGATTTTTAATGTGTTCCAGCATTTGGCTTTATAAACTTTGTAAGCTTTGAGTTGCTTTGTAAACTTTGTAAGCTTTGGGTTGCTTTGTAAACCCTTTCTACTTGGCACACTTGCTTTTTAAAGTGTTCCAGTCGTCGAGCATTTGTAGAAGTACAAAGTACAAGTCAAGTTTTGTTGCTTGCTGGTTGCTGAAATGGTGTACTGGTTAGACTCAAGAGATCAGATAACTTATCGATTTTTCTGCAGCTTTCAAACTTTTTAATTCAAAATCTTTGCTATTTGGATGAACTGATTAATTGATTCAAATCGATTTCCCAAAGCAAAGCCATCATAACATTTTCCCACCGTGGTGACCCTAAACCTTTTTTGAGGCTAATGAACGGTAATTGAGTTGTGATGCAACGTTTTTTTCTTCTCTTTTCAGATCCATCCTTTTGCTTACCGTATCCCAATATTGCGAGGGGATCTAATTGTCAGTTTTGTGGGAAATTTTCATTAGAAAATCGCTTTGCAAGGTTTTCATTTCAAAATCGCCGCCATTGCGTCACTCATTTGATTGATTTGGTGGGGTTAAGTGGCTTATACCCGTATTGGAACCGTATCGGATCAGAATAGGAATCTTCTTGAAACGTATTGGAATCGTATTGGATCAGAATAGGAACCTTATTGAACCTTATTGACCCCTATTGAAACCGTATTGGAACCAAGCAAAATGAAATTACTGCCGAATAATTGAGTCATTAAAAAAAGGTGAATAAGAAAACGCTTTGTCGTGCAATTGCGTTCATTTAAAACTCATTTATACCTATCGTATTTGATTTGAAACCCTCTAAAAACTAAGCACAAGTACAACCATTTTCCAAGCATTTAAATGCTACTGAATGGCAGACTTGCTATCGGTCAAGTTAGTTTATCTTGTACAATTCGATAGATTTGCTTGGTTAGTGTAGAATAGAAAGCTGAATCATAGTACCTTTTAAGCTTTTAAGTACACAGATAAGCTCAATCATAGTATTAGGTTGATGCAAAAGTCTTTTTCATTTTTTTGTACTTCTTTTGAAAAATAACAAAGTCATCAATTAACCTATGGTTTGCTCTAAATGAAAAGTGTTTATTGTTCAATTTCCCATCTTTTTAAATCAATTTGGGTTCACTTTCAAGCAAATTCGAGAGTGAAAACGGGTTTTTCATAAAAATCTATAAAAACCTCTATAAAGAAATTGGCTGAATCAATTTCTCTGAAAATCTGAAAAAATATCTAACTTTTTGTGCTCTATCTTTTATTTATTAACATCAAGATTGGTTTCCTTAGCTAAAGCGTCTAAAATGCATCATCGAGCCGTCGCCTTTTTTGACTACCCGACTTCAGGCTCTCAAAAAAATCTAGACATAAGACATTTTAAACTCGTTTTAATGTCATTTTGCAGAAAAATAATTGGCCTTTCGAATGCAATAAACCGTTGTTCAATTGGTGCATTTGTTACTTTTTAACGGAAGTACGAAAAAAATGAAAAAGACTTCTGCATCAACCTAATACTTTTATGTACAATTTTTCTACCGTAACCCATTTTCTATTTTCCAACTAACCAGGCAAATCTATCGAATTTTACTTGCAAACTCTTTGATCTTTGATTGATTTAACGGCTCACTGTCAATTTCTTTGATCTCCATTCGCTTTTGATTTCTGTCATTCAAATTCCCGAAACCCTTCCCTTCAAATTTAATCCCAAATCTCTACCGTAATTGATCCCGTTTTCTCTTTTTTGATCAATCAACCGGAATCAAGACTTTTTCTAGTATCGGTCAAGGGCAATTCATCCAAAATAAAGGAATCGCTTATCGAGATTGCGCAATTTTGTTTATATCGAGTGAGCAGATCGTAAATTCTGAGTGACCATGAAATTTTAATTAAAAACCCCTTTGTAGGGGTCGTAAAGTCGAGGTTAAGGGAACTTTTTCGAAACTAGAACTTATTGTAGTAGTGTTCGAAGTCGATTTTGATTGTACTTTGTGCTTAAAGATGTAAACACATGCTTTCTGGCATATCTAATAAAAGCAATCGTTCCAATTTGCTCCTCCATAAGTCTTTCAAATTTTTGTGAAAAATTGAAGGATTTAGTGCGCCAGGAAAGGTGCTTTTATTCTAAAAATGCCTTGAATAGAAAGCTACAGTAATCCCGTAGGTCTAAAGCTACAGTAATCCCGTAGTTCTAAAGCTACAGTAATCCCGTAGTTCTTGAAAGACTGCTTTAATGTACTGGGTAACTGTAATCTCTTAGTTAAAGCTTTTCTAGAAAATGCTTTTGAGAAATCTCGTTTAAACAGAAACACAGGAGAAGCCCGTAGTTCTAAAGCTACACTAAGCCCGTAGTTCTAAAGAACGGTTCACGGTAGCTTTACCCGCTTTACAAGAATACAAACCTCTTGTGGATGAGATTTCAATTAATGCCTGTTTTACTAAATGACTGGAGTACTGTAGCTTTATCTGACCTGAGCTATCTGAGATCTGATCTTTATCTGAGCTTTTAAAAAGCTTTACCTAGCACAGCTCTAATGTGGCTCGGAATTAGAGACACCGATCCAATACAAAACAAACAAAAAAAGACAAATTCTGGGAATACGAAAAGTCGACACCGGGATCCGAACCTGCAACCTCTCGCTTAACGAGCGAACGCTTTACCAACGAGCTACACAGGGACCTGCCGTTTGCCGCCAGGCTAGGGTCTTAGCCCTTACTTGAGATTTTCAAACGTCTACTCTAATCAGTTGATCTAATCTTGACCACCGACTTATCAAAAGTGAAAATGTCTTGCATGCAATGCAATGAGGAGTGAAAAGTGTTGCGTAACTGACACGAGACACCTAAAGTTCTTGAGGGCACAAATATAGACAAAAGAAACGGAAGTTATATTTGTGAGTAGGGTTGTGATGCAAATGATGTCCTCTCTCTCTCCCTCTCTCTTGTCCTATCCCTTCAGGTCATTTATCCACACTGATCTCATTGAATGGATTGGGCAAATGAACCGGAAATGACACTTTCGATCACTGAAGGGCAATTGCGCAATGAGGGGATTGGAGGGGAGAAGTTTAGGGAAAAGTTGGGGACTGAGGAATAAAATTTAAGGATTAAATCTGTGTTTTAGTTAGGAGAAATGGCTCAAAAGCTTGTTTCAGCTTCGAGAGAAATGCCGAAAATTGATTTTATATTGAATTTTATAGATTTGAATCATTTATGATGATTTACCTTTCGATTTCAGATTCGTTTCTATCAACTCCTCAATCGAACATTCGCTGATGATTACGATCCCGAGGACGATATTGGAGAACCATTTCCGAGCAATTGGTAAATCTTTTGTTTACTTTAAAGTAAAGATATTAGTTTTAAGCGATTTAGCTAACACTTGGATAGTTTGAAATTGATTTAAAGTTATGTTTTTAGATTAATATCGAAATAATCTCTATTTTAGCTTTCCTTTAATCGTTTAGCCATATTTGGCTAATAAATCTTTGAAATATTTTTTATAAATCTGTTTAAACTAACTCGGGAATCGCTCAGGCTAGCTTTGGTGAAGGCTTAGCGTTCAAGGCTGTTGAAAAAGAAAGGTAGTAAAGTAGAAATGAGACTAGAGGGGTACGGTGGCTCTACAGCTTGACAATGGTGACTTCAAATAGGCTTTTATAAAAATCCACAACGACAACGATATCTGAAAAGATTTTATGTACCCTAAATCTATAATCAGAATAGTGATAACTTCAAAACTCAAAGTTCTAAAGCGGCTAGACGATTAAGATTGAATCTGAATCGGCTACGACATAAGTAGAAATGAAAAGTTCACTAATTGATCTAGTTTCCTTCAAGTCGATGTTTATTATACGTTTTTCTATCTTTTTACTCTGATCTGAGCCCGTTTCCAAGAAAATTCGAACAAAAAAACTCGTTTTGCGGTAAAATTCGATAAACTGGCTGAAAAAATTTGAAAATTTAGCTATAAACCTAACTATTTGAGCTCTTTCCTCTCTATCGACATTAAAATCGGTTTCTTTAAACCAAAGTCTCTAAATGCTTTTTTGACTGTTCGAATTACATTGCAAAAAAAAAGCCAGAAACAAAAGATTTCTTAAAATTTCAATGATCTTTTACAGAAAACTCTGAAAAAATAAAATAGAAGCATTCAAAAATTGATAAATAGATGTGCTTTGATTTATTTATAGTTAGATAATTTACTTTGTTTCATGAATTTGCATTTTAAGTGTGACAACACGAGACGAGATCAACATGACTCGTTTCATCGCCGACGGCGGAGTGCCGCGGTTTCATGGATTGAAGCGGGTGCCCATTGATGGAAAAGAAGAGGTTTTTTAGATATTAGATGTAGAAAATTAAGCTTACAATGTTTTTTGTGATTTCTCAACTTTTCAGGAGTTTTTGATCCTTGACGATTTGACGTGTCCATTCTCTCGGCCGGCAATCATGGACGTGAAAATGGGTCGGGTCACCTATGATCCGGATGCGAGTGATAAAAAGGTAAAGAGATATAGAAAATCATTATAGAATCACTATAGAATCACGATAGAATCACTTTAGAATCACTATAGAATTATAGAATCACTATAGAATCACGATAGAATCACGATAGAATCACTATAGAATCACTATAGAATCACGATAGAATACTATAGAATCACTATAGAATCACGATAGAATCACTATAGAATCCCTGTAGAATCACTATAGAATCACTATAGAATCACGATAGAATCACGATAGAATCACTATAGAATCACTATAGAATCACGATAGAATCACTATAGAATCACTATAGAATCACGATAGAATCACTATAGAATCCCTTGAATCACTATAGAATCACAATAGAATCACTATAGAATCACGATAGAATCACGATAGAATCACTATAGAATCACTATAGAATCACGATAGAATCACTATAGAATCCCTGTAGAATCACTATAGAATCATAGATCACTATAGAATCAGATGACAATAGATCACTATAGAATCCTTTAGAATCCTATAGAATCACTATGAATCACGATAGAATCACGATAGAATCACTATAGAATCCCTGTAGAATCACTATAGAATCACAATAGAATCACTATAGAATCACGATAGAATCACTTTAGAATCACTATAGAATCACTATAGAATCACTATAGAAGCCTTATAGAATCACTATAGAATCCCTGTAGAATCACTCTTAAAGGGACTCTTATTTTTATTTGTTATTTATGAACTAAGGTGTCTGCCGATCAATGCCGTTTTCTAAAGAAAAGTTCAAAGATTTTCGGGATTTAAAATTGACTTCTAGCAATAAATCTAACAAATAAAGCGGAAATCAATGAATTTCCTCGAAAAAAATCCTCCCTTTTAAGTAAAATATACTTTAAAAAAGCTCAAAGTTTCATTCATTCAGGTCAAATCCGAAACGGAAAAGTACCCGCCGCAGAAATCGCTCGGTTTTCGGCTTCTTGGATACAGGGTCAGTGAAAGATACGGTAAAAGTTACAGTAGGTTTTATTAGACAACGAAATGTTATGATAAAGTTTCAATTTCTACAGTATTTTCGTTAGATTGATAAGTGAAAGTGAACTGGCTGAGCCAAATGCTAAGCAAGCTATACCATTCGACGGAGAATTTTATTCTGATTCCGAATATATATTCCGTTTTTGCTAAATAACAATCTACCAGGAGTTATAAGTGTCTAAAGTTTTGTTGGACCTGTTAGGAAGTGTTAGGAAGTAGGACGTGTTAGGAAAATGTGGTCGTTTGGATCTTGGTGACCTCCAGGGCAGCTGTGGTACTGGTACAGCGTTCGTTTCCAGAGCAGACCAGACCAGAGCTTTCCAAGTACGATCCCGACTCTGGCTTTTCCCTCTGATTCTTTTAAGAAGTGTTAAATAGTGTTCTTTGTTCGTGCGCACAATCGAATTCCATCTGGCACGCTTTCCATATATATATATTTCCAAAAAACGGAATATGGTACCTTTGGACTTCTTTTTAAAAAGCTATTCACTTGGAAAACTGAACATTCTTGTTTGGGATACTTTAGTGAAGCAGGAGCAACTTTAAAGAAGTAGATAAATATAAGGAAATCACTTCCAGATCCACAAAGAGGACGGATCGGTGGAGATTCAGGATAAAGATTGGGGGAAAAGCAAAGATGAGACAAATATCGGACAAGCACTCCTCGAATATTTCACCATTCGACCGGACGCTGTGGCGCTGATCCTGAGAAAGTGATGAAAATATGTAAACTTTTCAACTCAAATTCTCAGGGCCACCCTTTTCCGTGAATGGTTTGCTCAACAGCGTCTCTTTCATTTCTATGCTTCGTCTCTTCTTTTCATTTTTGAGACCGATCCAACGAAACCGGTGAATGCAGATGTCAGAATGATTGGTGAGTTAAAGAAAAAGACTCAAATAATACATTACTACAGTAAACTATATTAAAACAGTTACACTACAATAAACGAAACAATAAATCAAATAAGTTAGTAGAAAAAGCTGATTTGTAGAGTAAGTAGGTGATCTTGTATTCGGAAAAACAATTTGAATACAGGCTTAAAAGCAGAATGATCCAATCCTAGGCCTGGCTTGATTTCTGACTTGTTTAAATACTTTTAGATACCGTAAATACTGTAATAGTACCCCACCGCCCTCGTACAGTCGCGTAGTCGCAAAAGTTTTTTTAGTATTTCATTTTTTTCAAAGCGCTCGTACTTTCAAAAAATGAATCTTTGGTATCAAAAAATAGCCCTGAATTTCAGCTATTTTTTGATACCTAAGCGCGCATTGTAGCATAAACCAGTGTCGAGAAAAACGCGTGCAAAGCTAGACTACGCTCCGCTCCGCACCGTCATTATAGGGGTGGGGTACTTTTACAGTATTTACGGTAGATAAAGTCAAATTGATTTCTCTTTATCGATCAAAGTCATCAAACGAGTTTTTAACGAGCTTCAGATGAGCTTCAGAGTTTTTAAAACAAGACCAAGACTCTGTAAGTTGAGATCAGGCTTCTGGCTTCTGGCTGACTATTTTCGTTTGTCAAGTCACCCAGTTTGATTTATCTTAACTACTCATGAATCCAGCTTGTATCTGGCTGTCTTGTGACCAGGATAAGACCAAGACAGGCTCAGCTTAGGCTCAGGCTCGGCTTAGGCTCAGGCTCAGCTTAGGCTCAGGCTCAGCTTAGGCTCAGGCTCAGCTTAGGCTCAGGCTCAGCTTAGGCTCAGGCTCAGCTTAGGCTCAGGCTCAGCTTAGGCTCAGGCTCAGCTTAGGCTCAGGACCAAGACAGCCTCAGCCAGGTTAGAGGCTGATCTCTTTGAAGATTTGAAAGTCTCTTGAAAGTTTGTTAGCTACGCAGATCAATAATAGTTAGCTAGATCGAAAAGTTTTCAGAAAAATGCTTGCTAACTTTCAGATTTCGGTCATGTTTACCCGGGAAATGAGCAACTCGACGATAATTACACGCACGGATTAGACAATTTGATCTCACTTCTCGAGGAGATGCTCTTAAAAACTTAATTACTTTTTTTAGCAATTAAAATTGAGCAATTGCCAGAGATTTCTAATGAAAAAGAGATGCCAAAGCTGATTATTTTCAATTGCAAAAGTGATTCTTGATTTTATTTTTGTGTTTTGTGCCTTTTTGATGTAATTTTTTGGAATTGTATTAATGATTTGTTGATTTAATTGTGATCTCTTTTCTCTCTCACTTCTACTTGCCAAAATATATCAGCAGAAAATGCAAAGAGTTGCGATTTTTACGAAAAAACGAGAAATTTGAGTGATTTGATGTGTTGTGTATGATTGTTCACTTAAAAAAAAAAGACTTTCTTTTCTTCTTAACTTCTAGATTTCTAAATTTCTTTTTATTCTTTTATTCCTTTTTATTCTTTTTATTGTATTTTGTAGTATTTTGAAAAGTTTATATAAAAATAAAGTTGTTTAAAGTAGTTTTTTTCTCATTCTCGATCCGCTAACTGTAAAGAAAAAAAAATTTAAAAAAGAAAATTTGAAAAATTGGAACTTAAATCGAATGAAAATTGAGTAGAATTGATAAAATTAAATTGAAAGAGGACAATTTCGAGTAATTTAGACGACGATCAAGGTGCACAACTATTAGGTACAATAAACTGTATAAATAAAACTGCCTACGGCGGGTTTTCCCGCTCGTGGTTTATCAGAACATCAATAGCTTTTTTTAAATTATTAGATTTAGATTCATCTTTTAGAAAACATTAGACTTAAGCTAGCATCACTTTTTGCTAAAGAAAAACCGACCATAACGGCTAAACAAGCCGTCTCAATTGCTGTCGTGCATTGTGGGTGATCGCTGTACTCGAAGCGACGATTCAATTTGCAAAAACTAAACAAGATTCTTTCGAATTTCAAAAGTTCTCACAAAAGCTCTCACTTTTCATCGCACTTCTCCTTTTCAACACTCAATGTCAGATAGCATTGATCGTGGATGAAACAAGAGGCGTCAAGAGCAGCTGAACCAGGATTTAAAAGAGTTTAAATGTAGATTTTAGATACCGTATTTTCTCTAATAGTAGTGCACCCGGGCGAGCCGAGTTGGTGACGATTTTACGGTTTCCAAGCTTTTGCAGAAGCTCAACACTCAAATCCCCCAAAAGATCTCATCGTCAGCTACATTTTCCGACCCCACATCAATAGGTTTTGATAAGCGGTTCTCGAGATTTCGAGTAATTTAGGCAAAGCTTTGGATGCACTACTATTAGAGAGAATACGGTATCTGATTTATGACTTAGAATTCAAGAGCTTGATTTTGCTTCAAGATAGATATCTATTGAATTTCTTGAAGCTAAAGCTATTCTCTTACTCTAGAAGTAGTTGTTGCCCTGACAATGTGTCAATTAAAGAAACAAATTGCTTGATTTGGAGACGTTTCGCAACAGTTGCTTTTGAAGGTGCACTACTATTAGAGAGAATACGGTAATATACAATAAACTGTATAAATAAAACTGCCTACGGCGGGTTTTCCCGCTCGTGGTTCATCAGAACATCGATAGGTTCTGATAAGCGGTTCTCGAGATTTCGAGTAATTTAGACGACGATCAAGGTGCACTACTATTAGAGAGAATACGGTATTTCTCTAACCACCCTGCTATTGATAATCGAAAACAGTAAACACCTACTCATTTTTTAATAATTAAATCAACAGTATTTAGCTTTACTGACACATGAGAGCTGAATTTAACGACTACGGAATGCTACTAATGCTAATAGAATTAAAAGTTTGAACTTAAACTCTGAAATACTTTCAACACGCCTCTGACATGTGAGCATTTTCGTTCCGTGAGCCATTTTGCGAAGCTGCCCGAGCCCACGTAACGCTCCGATCCACAACTGAACACATTATCGCCTTTCTGAAATGCTTGTTTCCTTTATTTCAGCTGAAATTCTTTATGAAATCTATCCAACAATCTATGCTATCCGCTTTAAAATTGTTTCTTGACATTCTACACCATTACAAGTGTTACTTTGAGTTTTAGCATCATCGTTTCGTGTTATTTTGAAGCCCGAGAAAAACTCACCAATTTCTTGAAGTCGTTAACAAGCTCGTATCCTAAAAACAAGAGCTTTTTTTTCTAAATCTTTCAGCCAAAACATTGCCCACTTTTCTTGCAATCGGTGATTAAATTGGTGAATGCTTTGCCGATGGCTGGATACTGGAAATTGAATTGAATTGAATTGAATATGGATAGAATTTCTCCTTATTCCTTACCATTTCCACTTTAAAGAGTGAACAGAAATCGGGATGTGTGTTGTTGCAACCGAAAAATGACATTCTTTTTGGATTTCAATTAGATTTGACATTGTGACAATGAACTTTTTGGGCCAAGCTAGAAATCTAGGCACCGACTTGGTTTTGGGTGGTCTGACCTGGCTTGGCTACAGTCCAATCCACAAAACGTCTCTGATCCGCCACGTTTTGTGAATCGGAATGAAATTAGGACCAAACCAAAAGGCAGGTCTAGACTTGGCTTCTGGTTTAGTCCTAGTTTGATCTGGCCAATCTTTTGTCGACAAAGCTTGCCTCTTGTGTACTTACAGACCTTGTTGTAAAGCCTGGAAGTTGTAGATATAATACAGGTTGAGATAAAGATGGTATACAGGGTGGCTGAAAATTACGTGCGCGCAGCATCTGACATAGTTTTAAACAATGTATAAAGCATTACTACCCATCTTTTTGTGTTTTAATATTCTTTTTATCGTTTTCTATTATGTTTCTATTACATTTTGTGTTAAAAAAAAGTTGTTTTCTAGGTTGTTGTTTCTACAAAGACGTGCGCTAGTCGGGACGCAATCGCAATGCGCGTATCTAAGACCATTTTACCCATTTTTTTTTTCATTTTAATTGCGCGGAATGGGATTGTTTTATTTTGTAAATTTATTTTTTTGTTTTTCTAATTGTAAGGTTTTTTTCTTATTTACTAAAAATGTGAAGATTAACGCAAAAGTCTATCAAAAAGAGATCCTCGAGAAAGCTGTGGTGCCGTGGAAGAGGAGCCATCCCAATTTGACCCTTCAACAAGATTGAGCGCCGGCCCACAGAGCCAAAACAACAATTCGCTTTCTCGAAACCAAAATTGGTTCTTTTTTGACGAAGGATCAATGGCCTGCAAACAGCCCGGATCTCAATCTGTTGGACTTTTTGGTTTGGGGTTTTATGGAAGAACAATTGAGAAATTGGAAAATCAAGAATTTGCATGATTTACGTCGAGAATTGATCAAAATCTGGAACGACTTAGATGCAAATTTTCTCCGCCGCACCGTCGATTCTGTAAAGAAGCGAATTGAAGCCTGTATCAAAGCGGATGGAGGCCACTTCGAAAATTTCTTGTGATTATTAAATGCTTTTGTTACAACTATTATATAAATAAATATTTTTACATTTTCTTTGAAAGAAAATTAAATTATGGCGTTTTCTTTGGCGCACGTAATTTTCAGCCACCCTGTATATGTTTTGTCTGGTTTGGTTTCTGTTCGAATCGGATGCGTGTTTTTATCGTGTTCAAAATTAAATTGCAATGTTTAGCCTCCAAGCATCAGTATCAATCAGCTCATCAAGTTCTACTATTGCTATACAATTTTATGTGTGTAAAAATTCTCCGAGTAAGGCTAGCGATGTAAATTTTCTCCGCCGCACCGTCGATTCTGTAAGTTGTTTTCTAGGTCATGACAAGGACAAAGTCATGACAAAGAAAAAGACAAAGACGGCGGAGATGTGCGCTAGTCGGGACGCAATCGCACATCTCCGCCGCACTGTCGATTCTGTAAAGAAGCGAATTGAAGCCTGTATCAAAGCGGAGGGAGGCCAAAATTTCTTGTAATTATCAAATGCTTTTGTTACAACTATTATATAAATAAATATTTTTACATGTTCTTTGAAAGAAAATTAAATTAGAAAATTAAAGAAGGCGTTTTCTTTGGCGCACGTAATTTTCAGCCACCGTGTATTTAGAAAAAGGTCTGTTAAAAATGATTAAAATGTTAAAAATGAAGCAAAAAGACAGCTGGAATACGTTCGCTTTTTCAGAGTACTTTTCAGAGAATGGCTAAGCTACAAATTGACGATTGAAATTGCATACCATCACTTCCGTGACACGGTTTCCCTTAAAACAAACATTTTTTGCATTAAGAAACAGACATTTAAGCTTACCAATGCTCGGAGAAATTTGAACCAATAAAGCTGACTCAGTGACATTTGTGGCTAAATTAAATTTGAACATAAATTTTCACATTTATAAACATACATGACTGCTGAAACGATTCTTCACTTCTGATTTCCACTGTCTAAAGTAAACTTTCTGGTTCTAAGCCTCAAAGAGTACTAAAAAAAAAGAAACACAGCCTTTCTAGGGCACTTAATTCTTCAAATTCTTAATTTCTTGCAAGTTTGAATCATTGCTGAAAGGAAATTGAAGGATTCGTTCACCAGAAAGGATTTATTCTTAAGATTTTTATTCTTAAGATTAAGATTCAAATTTTTGAATAACTTTATCGAGATTCCATTAGCCGATTTGATTAAAAGAAATATTGATAGGAGTAAATATTTCATTTGTTGAAGATAAAAATGATTTGATTGTCTGTGCCTTGAGGCAGAGACAATGATTGATTTGATTAAAAATGATTTGATTGTCTCTGCCTCAATTCAAGCAACTTTTCCCCCTCAGTCTAAACAAAATGAAACGAAAATTATGAAAGAATAGAAAAAAAATCTGAAAATGTGTGCAAAATATTGTGATTCATTATTGTTTGATTGTAACGTAAATGTAGCCACATTTACGTTATGATTTAACTTAAATATAGCCACATTTACGTTAAATCAGCCCTTCAAATCGTTAAATCAGCTTGTTGTCACCGAACTTTGATTTTTAGGTTCAATTTTTTTTCTTGTTAAAGTTGATCTTCAAATTTATGAAGTAAGAATGATTGTAAACAGTTTAAAAAAGGTAATAAGAATTGAGGAATAGTTGGAGCAATTGAATCATTTGATAAGTTGACAATAGTTCTATTTCTTTAGATGTTGAATAGTGGCTACGCTGTAGCTCTACTGCTGAAGGAAGAGGTCTCTCGAGGTCTCAGAAAAACCATGAAGTCCTTCGACTGAATATCTTTAAGAATTCACTGAGTGATTAACTTTGACGCCCGACTTGACGAGGTTGACCGGGAGTTTGGTCCCTGGAAATTTTACATTATTTAAATAGAATTTTCTAAGGAATCGAATGGTACTTACCGTTTATTGGTTGAAGCCATTCTTCCACTTCATCCCTGCTTCCTCCCAGCTTCATCCCATCCAGGATGAAATTGGGATGAAGCTGGGAGGAAGCAGGGATGAAGTGGAAGAATGGCTTCAACCAATAAACGGTAAGTACCATTCGATTCCTTAGAAAATTCTATTAGGTTGGCAACTTAATAATGACGCGTCACTACTTAACATGTTTTTTTGTAATTTCAAGCGCCGTTTCTTCCCTCTTTTTTGCATATATACGAAGTAAAAGATGTCTACATAAATAACATTTAGTGCTCCAAATTTCATCATTTGCTTTTTGGCAAAAAAAGGAGGACAAAAAATTCCGCATTGTTCTACGATTGTTCTACGATTTTAAACAAGGAAAATCACCAGCTGAATCTCATCGCACGATCATCACTGTTTTTCGAGAGGAAAGTATACACATTCGTCAATGTCAACGATGGTTTCAAAGATTCCAAGGCGGCGATGAAAGCCTCGTAGACGAGCCACACCAAGGACATCCTCCAGAAGTGGTCGACGATGACTTGCTCGCCTTAATTGAAGATTGCCCAACACTCACCGTTCGTGAGTTGGCAGAAATATTTGAAGTATCCCATATGACAATCAAAAACTATTTACACAAACTTGGGAAAAGAATCGAGTTGGAAAATGGGCTCCTCACGAGCTGACCCAGAGCAACAAAATGTCGCCTCAATTTTGCTACAAAAATACAAATCAAACGACTTTTTTCACAGGGTTTTGACTTCTGACGAAACGTGGATCAACTACGAGAACGTTAAACGCAAAAATCGATGGCAATCTGCTGGGCAGACCCCTCAAACCACTCCCAAATCTGATGTCCATGGGAAGAAGATAATGCTCTGTTGCTGGTGGAACTTCAAGGGATTGGTACATTATGAACTGCTGAAACCTGGCCAAACCGTCGATGCTGATCTTTATTCGAAGCAATTAATGAGAGTTAACGAGTCTCTGAAGAAATTGGGGCTCAAACCGGAGAGAGTCAGATTTTTACACGACAACGCAAAACCTCAGACTGCAAAGATCACTTATAAGAAAATCGAGGAACTTGGCTGGAAAGTTTTGCCCCACGCGTCTTATTCACCTGATCTGGCTCCTTCAGATTACTTTTTGTTTCGGCCGGTGAAGCACTTTTTGGAGGGAGAAAAGTTCGATGATCATGTTCAGGTCATAAAAGCAGTGAATGACTACTTCGCCTCAAAAACTCCCAAGTTCTTCGAGGATGGGATCCGGGATTTGCGCAGAAGATGGGAAGGAGTCATAGATACTAATGGAGAATACCTTTCGAATTGAAAGCTCTTCTTTTGTGTTTTTTTGAAATAAATGATTTGTTACATAAACGCGTCATTATTAAGTTGCCAACCTAATATTTAAATAATGTAAAATTTCCAGGGACCAAACTCCCGGTCAACCTCGTCAAGTCGGGCGTCAAAGTTAATCACTCAGTGAATTCTTAAAGATATTCAGTCGAAGGACTTCATGGTTTTTCTGAGACCTCGAGGGACTTCTCTTCGGTAGCTTCAATCGGTCATTGCTCTTTTCATAGTTGAATGTCGCTGCAAAAAGCAAAAGCATAGTCAAGTGAGTGTTGACGGATAAATTTTTTCCGTTTGATAACCCGCCAACTCCGGACCATTGCTCTTTTGCTCCACCTCTTTCATCACTTATATCCCCCACTCTTTCCTCCTTCGCCAGAGAGTGCGCGATTGAGAGAGAACACAAAGAACGCTGTTTGTTTTCCCCTTTTGAACGAATTGCACAAGACTTGTGCGTTCTCTTCATTCTCTCAATGACTCATTCATTCACTTTCTGGCAGACGGAGATACAGCCAGCTAGATAATTTTCTCCAAATCTTTTTCTATAAGCAGTGGTCCGTAGTTAGTGGGTTATCACTTGAAATGAATCCCCCCACAGCGATCCTAGACCCTGCTTTTTGGGGTTTGAACAGAATATCTTTTATTTTGATTGCTTTTGGATTACTGTACTTTTCACAACAAACTCAATACTGTAGGCTAAAGAAGCTCTCATTTGTGAGACTCACTCCATACAATCAATTGCACTCACCTCCTCCTTCTTCCCCACGAATTGAATCCCCATCCCCCACCGCCCATTTGTCCTCTTCCTGCATTTCTCCAATTCTGTTGTTGCCGTTGTTGTGCTCCACCGGCTCCTAGAGATTTGAAAAACAATTTGACGATTACAATTGTGTTGAAGTTGAAGTGGAAACTCGAGATGATGGATAGACCGATTGTGCCGCATAAATCGATCCATCGAATGCCGTTGGAGTCCTGAAATTTGCAAATCTTTACGGTTTTATACAAAAAAATAGTTTGGTAATGTTTGTAATGTGGCAAAACTACCGTAATCTTATAATTAGTACTACATTTTCTTGGGTTGCCTTACTGTAGATTCAACAATACGATGCATCCCTTAAAAGCCTTTTCTAAAACGTGTTAACTTTCAAAAACTACCTTTAACTTTTATTCAATTCATTTACATTTGTTTTTTAATATCAGCTATAGAAAGTTATAGAAATTTTGACGTGTTTTGAAGTACCAAAATCACAAATCTAATTAGATCTTTGCAAAAAAGCAAAAGCATAGTCAAGTCAGTGTTGACGGATAAATTTTTCATGTCTGGTAACCCGCCAACTCCGGATCAGCGCTCTTTTACTTGACTTCTTTCATCACTTATATGCCTCACTCTTTTCCCATTTGCCAGAGAGTGCGCGATTGAGAGAGAACACAAAGAACGCCGTTTGTTTTCCCCTTTTGAACGAATTGCACAAGACTTGTGCGTTCTCTCCATTCTCTCAATGACTCATTCATTCACTTTCTGGCAGACGGAGATACATCTAGCTATATAATTTTCCCCAAATCTTTTTCTATAAGCAATGGTCCGTAGTTAGTGGGTTATCACTTGAAATGAATCCCCCCACAGCGATCCTAGACCCTGCTTTTTGAGGTTTAAACAAAAAGAATATCTTTTGTTCTTTTGTTTTGATTACTTTTAGATATACTGTACTTTTTCTAACAAACCCAATGACTCAAAGAAGCCTTTATTTGTAAAGTCGATCCCATAAAGATGTCCAATTTCTACCCCTCGATTCTCAAGGCGTTTAGTATTTGTCTTAAAAAGTTAGCAGCCATTTCTATGCATATGGATATGAAAAATTCCCAATTTACCTTTAGGAATAACTTCCCACAAAACTGTGCCCTAAAGTGCACTAATCGTTGATTGACAAGCGTCATTTGTTGTGACGTGTAGTCGTCATTTTCATTATTTTGTTCCAGAACTCTGCTAAATTGATCTCGACGATTTGTGTTGTTAGAATAGATTAGACTAGATTTGTAGTAGTTGTAGTAGTTGTAGATTAAAGTAATCTCAAAAAATCGAGTACAAATTGCACAAATTGACTTTCCTGCTTTCCGTTTTGTTGTGTGTTAAATTCTTGACTTTTTATACTGTGATAGCCTTTTTTTTTTTTTTAGACCCCTCTCGAATCGATGGGGATCGTTTCAATGGTGGCTGATGGGGTGGGTGCCCGCGAGGATGGTGTCCGATTACTTTTGACTGTGCTGGCTGGGTTAGTTTTTTTAAATTTATCAGTTTCAAAAGAGGTTTTAAATTGTATTAAACTGTGCCTTTGAGTTTATTTATTGATGGAAACTTGGAATTGTTAAAACTAGGAAAGTTAGATTTTTTAAATTTAAAAGATTAATCATAACTTTTTTTTCTTTAGGTATCCTCTATCGGCGGCTCATCGTTGTTTTTTCTACAAGAAAGATCCTCAAATACAACACGCCTTCTTTGTCGCTTGTGGCATTGTCCTTTATTTCTTCAATTATGGTAAGTTATTTGGATTTATTTCATTTAAAGCAAATCTAAATTACAGATAAGGCTCAAATTTAACCCATGACAAAAGGTTATTTTCAGGATTCACCATCTATCACAGTCTCATCTCAATCCTCTTTGCCTACGTGATTACGAATTTCCTGCGCGGCAAAAATGAGGCTGTTTGGGCGGCACACATCGCATTTTTGGTAGGTTTCGGTTCATTTCTATCGATTGATATTTTCATTCTAGGGCCATCTACTCGTTGGATATTGGTTTGCCGAAACGGACACCTACGATATCACGTGGACGACTCCGTTCTGCATAATGTGTCTACGATTTATCGGACTTGTGATGGATGTGTATGATGGACAACATTATGTAAGTTTTGATGCTATTGTTATAATGGAAAGATTTAAATTTGCTTTTAAAAAGCATTAGAACTTTATCTAACAACCGAAATTAAAAAATTTATTATTTTTTGTTATTTTAGGACTCTTTAAAAGCTGACCAAAAGCTCACAGCAATTCGTGACCCACCGAGCCTTCTTGAGACAGCTGCTTTTGGTAAGTATTAAAGAAATTGAACAAATTATAATTTTTTGCTTAGGTCTCTTCTTCACAGGAACTTTGGTTGGACCTCAATTCTCACTTGCTCGTTTCCGCGCCTTTGTCAACGGAGATTTTCTTGATGAGCAAAAACAAGTTCGGTCTAGCGGGTGAGTATGGATTATTTTTTTGATATCTTTGTTGCATCAGAAGTACCGCTTTTACTTTTTTTAGTTTGATGCCCTCGCTTGGACGCTTCGTTGCCGGTGTATTCTACATGGTGATTAATCAATGGGGCGCAGTTTGGATTCCGGACAGTTATTTCAATTCGGAGGCTTACTTTGTAAGGATCTAAACGTTTTAAAAAATAGCATAGATAATCTTCAAGTTACATAATTTTGTACTTTACTTTCTTCTTTAGAATGCTTCTTTCTTCTGGCGTTGGACATGGGCAGTGATTTGGTTCCGCTTGACGATGTATCGATACTGTGCGGCTTGGTTGCTGTCGGTGAGTGACTTTCTTAAATAAAAATCGTATTTGCAAAACTTTTCATTAAACATTTATATTTTAGGAAGGAGGGGCCATCTTGAACGGCATTGCTTACAACGGAAAGGACGAGAAAGGAGAAGATAAGTGAGTGATTTCAAAAGTCTCCTAGCAATCAAAGCTTTTAGATGGGATGGTGTCCGCGATATTCACATTTCTCGATGGGAATTCGGTCACGACTACAATTCGGTGGTGCTCTCGTTCAACTGTGGAACAAATACATTTGCCAAGAAGTTGGTGACTTTGGATTTGAATAACAAGTTATTTAAGCAAAAGCGTTTATAATAGCAATTATCCAAAACAGAAATTCTTCAGATATTCAGAAAACGTTTAAAGTACGAGTACCTGATTAAAACTTATAATTGGTTCAGTTAACCAGTCTACATTTTTCTTCTTTTAGTCACATTTTCCGACGTCTACGATGGTTAAATAGCAAGCCACTGGCCCATCTCTCGGTGCTGATGTACTTAGCGGTATGGCATGGGTATCATCTCGGCTACTTCTTGTTGTTCATCTTTGAGTTCTCTTGTATGATTGCCCAAGAACAGGTATTTTTAAACTTTACCTGATGAATGTAGTTACATTTTAGCTTTACTTCTTGATCGATCGGGTACCCGGGTGGAAAGAGTTTAACCAACAGGTTTGATTTTCGTTTAATTCTAACAATTTGTGAGGTTTAGACATGGATGCGACCGATTTGCTGGCTTACCGGAAAGATGATCATCTCTTACTCAATGGGTTTCGCCTTTCTCACCTTCGGACTCATCAAGACGAGACTTTGGTACAAGGTGAGGTTTTAAAAAATAACTCTAGTGCAAAAACGTGTATTGCTACTTCTGAAATTTGAAAAAGGTTGCACTTTTGACTCAAAGATCCTTATAAAATAGCCGAATATAAACACAGGATATGTCATTTCGAAATTTCCTTGTTTTAGCCTCTCTTCTCGCTCTACGGTATTGGATACATTCTCTACTTTGTTGCATGGCCAATCCTTTTCCAGGTTCTCAAAGTAAGTACGATGTATTTTATAATAAACTTATTTGTTAAACTTTGAGCTGAAGCTTTTATTAATGTTTCGTTTTTCAGAGAAAACTTCCACTCAAGAAGTCAGAGAAGGTCGAGAAGAAAACAGAATAAACGACAAGAAAGTATCAAGCTTTTATCTTCAAAAACTTTCGAGTATCGTAGTTCACGTTGTAATTAGGGTATTTTCTTCCTACAGCCTTCTTTTTTCCACATACAGGTTTTCTTGCCTCCTTACATAGATTTTTGACTTAAGGATTACATGAAATTTAGTTGGTACTTCTTTCAATTTTGTGACTGAGTAGGGATTCATATTGGAAATTTCGGGTTTATAGTTAGCCCGATTCACAAAATTCGTAGTTTTTGAGAAAACAAGCTTTGGTTTGCATTTAGATAATACGAATTCCCCCGCACTTTTAGTGTTTTTGATGAAATTGAGTTTTTTTTGTCTCCTCAACGAAAATGACTTTTGACGATCTGCTCTTTTTGATGTCCCTAGGTTTCTCCCTTGTTTTTTATTCACGCAAAATGTAGTCATCGTTGGTGTGAGTGTGATATTTTTTTACCTTGTGAATGTGAAATTTTTTAAAAGCTTGTTATTAAATTTTTTTATCGTCGCACAAATCAAGCGAGTCGCCAAGACGAAAACCAAGACCAAGATTCCAATTATCGGTGTTACAATCTCAACTCCCATTTTCTGGAAGCAAAATATGTTAGATGGATTTTCGATGCAAAAAGTGATTTCTGAAACTTTTAAAGAAAAAAATTTAAGTTTTCCCTTTTTCACATTCAAAACTCTGGTTTGCATGACATCTTTTTCCTGATCAAAGCTCATTTCTCTTCAAAATCGATTCACCCATCTTTGCGATAAGAATTTTCAGAAAAAATGCTTGCTATTTCAATTTTTCTGGCTATATTTAGTTTAACTTCTGCTAGGTCTACCATATTTATTTTATGAAAAACCAAAATTTTCTAGCATTTATGAGGTTCCAATCGTCAACACCTCTCGCTATCCGGGCATCGAGATCAAAATCGGAACACCTAGTGAGGGATTTTAGAAATATATAAACAAAATACTGTAGATTGTACCTAAAAATATAAAGAGTTATACGTCTAAAATTGCAGGGCAATTGATTTACTGTGAGTATTTGAATGTCGAGTTCTACGGGATGATCATCGTTGATGGATACGATCCAACGTTCGGTTTTTGAGATTTTTTGTTTTGTTTTAGTGTTTTAGGCTATAACTATGAGTTTTTTTTATTATTTTACTTTGGTTTTATTTTCAGAAAGTCGATCACTGCTAAGAACATCACGCTCACCGATAACAACGATTTCACGCTGATGGAGTCGGTTTTTTTTAAAACCGTTTTTATAGATTTTGTTCTATAGTTTTTAGCTTAAGCAAGTACTAGAATAAATAAAAAAATTTTAACTTTAATAGAAGCTTTTTACAACTATCAAATAACTTTGATACTGGGTTAAATATTAGAAAAACAAGTTTTGGCGTTTGACTTAAAAAGTTCTCGTGCGAACAAGCAATCATTGCTTTTAAGTAGCCAACTTTGATATAAAATTAGCTTCAAATTACCGTAAATACTGCAATAGTACCCCACCGCCCTTGAAGTTGAAGATTAATAATTGCTAATTGAAGATTGATATCAATGTTTAAAAACAGATTTTTGCTGAAAACCAAAGTCAGTAAAAAGTTAAGCTAAAGAAGTACCTTGGTAAACTATAAAATACTAGTAAACGGAACGGTAACATACCGTAAATACTGCAATAGTACCCCACCGCCCTCGTACAGTCGCGTAGTCACAAAAGTATTTCATTATTTCATTTTTTTCAAAGCGCCCGTACTTTCAAAAAAAATGCGTCTTTGGTATCAAAAAATAGCCCTGAATCTCAGCTATTTTTTGATACCTAAGCGCGCATTGTAGCATAAACCAGTGTCGAGAAAAACTCGTCCAAAGCTAGACTACGCAACACTCCGCACCGTCATTATGGGGGTGGGGTACTATTACAGTATTTACGGTAGCTTCATTAACGCCAACGAATCAATAATTATCGAAGCAATAGATTTCTTTTCTTTTCTTTTCAGAGATACAATCTACATCTCAAACGTACCGCTACCCAATTATCGCTTCAAATTTCTCAACTATGGCTCGTCGAATAAAGTGAAAAAACGATTGGTTCACGGGAATTGCAATCTTTTCATGGGACGGTTGGCAAATGTGCGTTTTGAGAGGAAATTTCAAGATTTTACGAGCCATTAATCTTATTTTAGGGAACAATGGTGTCACCGGTAAAAGAAATGAATCAATATCTCGATCAAGCGATTCTCACATATAACATTCGAAACTTGTATGCTTTTGGTGATGATATTTGGATCGAAAAAATTTCAGCACAGCCGACGTTGAGATGGGATCGATGACATGGGGAGGAGTGGACACGAAAAATTGTGGGAATTTCAAATGGTATGATTCGTATGGGAATCCGGATGGAATCTCTGGTTTACTGGGTATGTTTTTTAGGTTTAATTCGTAAAAATTAATGTAATGAAATTAAGTTAATTAATTAAATTAAAGTCAATTCGAAAGTTGGTAAGTGAATATTATTAAGCTTTTCTAGAAAATCGTTTCATTCCTGTTCGTACTTTCGTTTAAAATCAATAAATGCATCAATTAAACGACGGTTTGAATGTATTAGAAAGGTTTCATTAGAAAGGCCTATCATTTTTCTGAAAAAGAACATTAAAACGGATTTCAAAATTGTTTATGTCTGAATTTTTTTGAGAGCATTTAGTCGAGTAGTCAAAAAGTCGGCTCGATGATGCGGTTTAGACACTTTAGCTAAGGAAACCGATCTTTGTGTCAATAGATAAAAGATAGAGCACAAAAAGTTTGGTATATAGCCAAATTTTCAGAGAAATTCATTCAGCCAATTTCTTCGTAGAGGTTTTTGATAGATTTTGACGAAAAACACGGTTTTCATTCTCGAATTTGCTTGAAAGTGAACGGAAATTGACGAAAATTGAACAATAAACACTTTACCGTATTCTCTCTAGTAGTTGTGCACCTCGCCGAGTCGAGTTGATGACTATTTTACGGTTTCTAAGCTTTTGCAGAAGCTCAACACTCAAATCCCCCCACTAGATCTCATCGTCAGCTACATTTTCCCCACATCGATAGGTTCTGATAAGCGGTTTTTGAGATTTCGAGGAATTTAGGCAACGCTCAACGTGCACTACTATTAGAGAAAATACGGTATTTAGAGCAAATCATAGGTTAATTGATGGATTTGTTATTTTTCAACGGAAGTAGTAAAAGAAACGAAAGGTCTTCTGGATATTACGGAATAGTATTCTATACTATTCAATACTATATTGAAGTGTGATGCTGTTTGAACGGCCGGGCATTGTCAAATCAGAGCCAGATTCAGCCCTGGTTCTGGGTGGGACCAGAACCAGGGCTGGTATTTTATGGACCAGTCTGGTCCATAAAATACCAGAGGTATTTTATGGACCAGACTTACAGTCAAGTCAGGACTGAATTCTCGTCTGACGTGGCTTGAATTGCTTTGACATTCCTGATCGAGCATGCTTAGCTAACGGGTTCACCATTGCCTTTAACACAGCAAAATGAAGACATCATTTTACAGTTTGAGCACAAAATAAACACCCCCAATTCAGAGCTTCTGTCGGAAATCAATCAATTCCCCAGCCCGGCTACGGGGACATTTATTTGACCGATGCCGCCTTTTCCGCTCCATTTTCTCTGATACAAAACCTTCTCAACTATGGCAATTTTGTTTATGATGATTTGAGGGGAATGGTAAATTCGATATCTTTAATATCTAACATCTTTCGTTACAGTACTCAATGCCTTGTTCAACTTTTCCAAAATTGCCTCCAATCACGTTTTTCATCGAAGGAAATCCGATCACCGTTCAACAAGATTATTATGTGGTAAGTGGAAAAGAAGAAAACGAAACTCTTAATCGATTTTCTTTCTTTTTATCTATCTATTGGGTTGGTGAATTGAAAACTGCGGAACTTTGAACTAAAATTTATTCAACATAAAACTATGAATTCATTCGAAATAATTTCCATTATTATTGACGACTTCTGCCCATTTTACAGGCAATTTGCGGATTCCTCTTTCGTAGTAGGATTTTGGTTTTGAATCGAAAAACTTTCAAAGCGAATTTTTGACTGCTTCTTCCGGATCGAAGTGTTCTCCCGAAAGCTCATTACTCATGGTCCGAAATAAATCGTAATCAGAAGGGGCGAGGTCCGGACTGTATGGGGATGTAAAGTTCCCAACTAAGGCTCTTTATTTTAGAGCTAGTCAGTTTTGCAACATGTTATTAGTTATTATTTAGATAAAAAGTAAATTCTCTAACAGATTTCCTCTTTTATTGGGTTGGTGAAAACTGCGGGACTTTGAACTAAATTTTATTCAACATAAAACCATAAATTCATTCCAAATAATTTCCACTATTATTGACGACTTCTGCCCATTTTACAGGCAATTCCTCTTTCTTAATAGGATTTTCGTTTGTGTGTGAGACAAGTGTGAGACTCAAAAATGGAGGACTGGAGTCATCCCAGTTTGAGCACTTTCTTCAAAAGAAACCCATTTTGGTGTCAATAGAAAAGTTGTAGAGGATCAAAAATGAGGCTTATAGCCAAATTTCCAAAAAGATACACTTAGTAGTTTCGCTTAAAATGCAAGTTTTGTGAAAATTCGTAAATTTCGCATTTCTTGAAAACCAGTTTTTGAATCGTTCTGGAAATTTGGATATAAGCTTGATTTTTGATTCTCTACAACTTTTCCGTTGACACCAAAATGGGTTTCTTTTGAAGAAAGTGCTCAAACTGTCACATATGACAATAGCCTGCAGTTTTCAATTCACCAACCAATTCACCAACTATAAAGCCTTAAGTGAAGCGAACCTTACCGATAACGATCGATAAGCTGTCGATAATCAAGGCTCATTTTGCTCATTTTCGCCGATTTATTCGAAAATTCCCAACCCAATACATAGCCAGAGTGAATCAGTTTAAATACGTTTTCAATTCACCAACCCAATATTTTATCTATTGATTTG